TGCTTTATGAATGCATCCCTTTTCAATCAGCATACAGTCTATGAATTATTTAAAAAAGTTTTAGGGTCGGGAGTTTAGCATCTTATCCAACCTGAATCTGAAAGTTAGTCCACTCCGAGTGTTCATTGGTGTTGGAGAGTGATGCTTCTTACCTCGCAAACAATCTTTGGCTGAGTTCGGGCAGCAACTGTTTTGTTTTGTTTACGTCGCCAGCTGGCACAAAACACACAAAATCCATACCGTATTATTTTGGCCTAGCTGTCATCAGGTTAAACAACGCTGGGGAGCGCTAGCTAGCTATGACCTGCTCTTGGACTTATTAACCAGCAACAGTGATGATAAGCTCGGCTAAAAACTTGAAGGATTTGTACAATGAAGTTTGCTAGTGATATTACGGTCGAAACTGAGGCCTCTACACCATATCCGCCATTTGCCTAGGCTTCCCCACGCGAAAAGCAGGTGGCCGCCACAAACGAGGCCTCTTTATGCCACACTCCTGTGCGCTAGGTGTAGCGCAGGTTTTAAAACTACCTGTACAAAACTACACAAAACACTCTATTGTCGTTCCACACTCCAGCCCAGCAGGTGGCGGTAATGCACCTTAAGTTGGCTTGCAAACCGCTAGTAAACATTATAAGAAGAAGAATAAAACTAGCCTACTCATACTTCATTCTGCCACATTAACAATGGATATAGAGTCAGTTTAAAGGTGATCCGTTTCCATAATACAAACTCTAGTGAACAAAATAAGAAGTTCCCTTTTAGCAAAAAAATGGAATAAAAAGACCGCTACATGAGTGTCACTAAACTAAAAACAGTTTAGAAGTACAACTTTTCACCTTTTGCTACTAAATGAGTCTTTGCTGTTAAATAAGTATGTTGCAATGGAATAAATATTTCAAAAATATATCAACGTATTTACATCCATGAGCAAATGACAACAAAATATATAGTATATTATTATTATATTTAATGCACATTGAAATGTTCCTCGTAGCAAAAACCTGTGATCCTTAAAGAAATGACCCAACTGTTGGCACACAGTCTGCCGCAGTCTGCTCCCTGATGAAAAGAGGCGTGAGCACCCATGCAGTTAGTTGCACAACTCTCGTTTGCTTCGTGGTGTAGAGGCAGAGTTCTTTCCACAGGCAATGTCCCATCAGGCCAGACAAGCAAAAGTGTGAGCCAGGTACACAAAGTACCAGCAGGGCCATCTGCTCTGGGACTGCACACATCCATCTTACTGAGGACAACCAGTCTGGGCGAGAGAGAAGGAGGAGGACAGAGGAAGGCAGAGAACGACAGAAAAGTAAGCAGTAGGAAAGAAATAGAAAGAAAGAAACAGAAAAACAAATGTATATGTGTGCCTGTGTGTAATTGGTGGTGGAGGGGTGAGTAAAGACAAGGTCAGGGTGGAGAGAGGTGGTGGCATCATCTGCAGATAGAGAAAACAAATTACACAAACACAGGATGCAGGTTTTTCTCTCATAATGCTGTGGTAATTTACACGCTGGCAAAAGCCTAAAGTGAACATTAACACCATGGTATGGAATAGTAGCACGTAGTCAGAGAAAGGATGAATTCTTTTTAAATGAATAAGACAATTATAAAGCTACTTTTAAAGCTTAATGTTGCCAACTACTGCCAATGTAAGCACAATATAATTATGACAGTACAACACTGGGGATCTTATGAGAATAACATTACTGAGTTATGCAATGTTTTTAATTTAATATTTATAATTTTATAATGTAAACAGAAAGTTATTCCCTTTTATTTCATTAAGCATGACATCAGGAAGGTCAGGAAGTTGTAAGTCTCAGCTCACACTGTCATCCCTGCTTCATAATCATCAGGATATGACTCCAAACACTACAGTCAGTAGTCTGAGGGTGGTGAGATCATCAACCATTCTCCATTTGTTATTATTTTTAGACCATTTCCTCATCACTGTATAATCAGTATATATGGTACCACCGGTATATGCCTCCCACCCCGGCTCCACATTACCTTATCACACTGAAAGCTTTTAGCTGTGCTTTCAGCCATTAGCTTCAAACAGTGGGCAGCTACCAGAGAGAGGGAAAAGTGGTTTCCTGGTGGCTCAGGATGATGTCAATGGTGAAAAGGTCTTTTTTATAACACCGCTTGTCCATTTTATCTGCTAGGAGCCACAATACAATTCTCAAGGCATGTGGAGCCTCTATCAAATGACCTTCGACAATTTTCATTTCACTTACACCAAGTCACAGAAGTTTATAGACACTTTTTTCCTCTTCAGCCTGTCACTGATAAGTGCTATAAAACTTCCATAACAGCCACTATGTGCTCGTGAGCAAGGCACTAAACCTTCAGGAGCTTGTGATACAGCTGGGAAAGTTCCCACAACCTGACGCTTGCTGTAAAGAGATATTTGTAGTTTCCTTGGGAAAGGGTTAAAGGACATATCTTTTGCTAAATTCATTTTTAGAGCATTTTCTGACATTCACATGAATCTCCAGTGTGTGTAGAGACACACAAAACATGAGAAAAGAGCATTGCCTACCTGTTTTGCTTTTTCCACATTTGTAAAAACCCACATGCTTTTTGAATTTGTCTCTCTTTATGACCTCATACAAAATGATACAGCAGTTAATTTCATAGATCCTCTATCCTGAGAGCCAGTGACGACACAGTGGATATTGTATATTTATTGTGGATATGTTCCTAAAGATATCCCTAAAATGTACTAATCACTTATCAACGAGGGTCAGTACAATGCTGGATTTACTTCCTAACTGAAGCTCAAGAGTGGATCTATTCCAACTGTCTGTGAGTCTACCTCACATGCCAATGCTGTAAGTGTTGATATTTTAAAGTTATTGTAGCGTTGGCTGGGTAAAGAAGGGTCAGGAGAACAGTTTGCCTTTTCTGTGGTCTTGCAAGCTGCAATTTTATTGCACACACAGCTGGGAACACACAGCAACAGACACACTGAACAATGGACACACCAAGTCCCGCCAAGTTTGAACTAGTATCCCCCCCTCTGGCATTATGGGGAGTCCCACCAGGTGCTGCTTTGCCCCAGTGCTACAATATTTTACTGCTTGTGTATGAAGTTAGCCTGTTTAACTTGGCCACATTAGCCACAATGTCATGCTATACAGCTAACGTGGCTAACAGTAGCCTGTATTACAAACCGAATGGCAGAAACAGATTAAATCTTTGGTCTAGTAATATTGATGAACAGTCAGAAGGTACCAGAGAATTTGTGTGAACCTGTATGTGGACCTCTGACTGAAGCAGACCTGAATGAATTTAGCTTCAAGCCTTCATTCAGAGCAGAAAAGCTGATTTAACATCATATTGAAAACAATTGTTTAGCTGCTTACTGAAGTGTATCAGCTGGCCAGAGTGCCTGTCATAGGAGAGGACTGATGTGTTACTGACAGATGCTCAGGCTCCTGCCCTCCAAAGGGGATTTCAAAACCAATCGACTGCTGGATGCACAGAGGCGTTCCTCACGTATCAATCAATTATTTACATATTTATGCTGGCTTGCAAAAAGCTGTTTGACTGCATTTCATAAGTGCTAGACTGACATGCATTTTGTAGGAGGGGAATTGATGTAGCCCAGCTATTACTCTTCATTTGATTCTGTGTTTATGGCAAACTAACTTTTGCACTGTCACAAGGAGACATATGTAGATGTGTAGATGTGGGCTGGTGATTCTTATTGTCTGCATTGCAGCCATTAGCTTTTATGCCAGGATACATCATTCTATATTTGAAGTAACATGCAGAGAAAATCTGTTTTATTCATATTCAAATTTCTTTGAACACAAAACTGAGGTCAAGCCATAAACTTTTCAGCATACTATGTAAGTGCACTGGATACTTAGCAAGAGGGGGATTTTTGTGTGGGGGCACCTGAGTTATATGCTAGAGAGGAAGAAGTGGCAATAGCAATAGCATACACACAGCTCTGTTGAGTAGCTTTGGCAGTGCTTGAGAGAGATCTATTTTATTATTCCTTGTTTAGTCAGCCTCTCTGGACTTTTTCTTTGAAGTGCTTCATATGAAGTATAAAGTAAAGCACGACTACATTGTATTTAATATGAGGTTTGCTTTAGGATTAAAGCTGTGCCCTGAGGTCAATGGCAACAGCCCTCATTCCACTCATCACCTCGCCCTTGTGTTCGCAGCCACCACTATGAGAGGCAATGATTCATTTTTTTTATCCACTCCAATATCATTAAATTATTAGTTGATTTCACTGGATTTAATCAGCATAGTAATTTCTCTCCATGGGAAGATAAGTCTTTCTCAAGAGCAGTTACACCGTCCACTATGCCGGCTGATTAGACACAAGCCCCCAAAATAATTCATCAGAAAACTGCGGGAAATAATTTATCAAAAGTGCTTCGCACAAACCCAGCTCAGGACCTTTGCTTCTTAATAATTAAACTCTGCAATTAGGCATCTTACCATGCACTCAGTGTGAGGCTCCATGTAATATTCATAACCATACATAATTATGCAATATATTCATGGAAATAAGAGGCTATATATTCATATGGGAGCTGTCACGAAGAAAGACGTTTTTATTTTGTTTATAACACTGTTTCATCCTATACATGAGCAGCTGGCTTCTTGAGACAGAAGTGAATGAGGATGTCTGGTCTTTTGCAGTCTGACACTGTAATTCTGTGGCTCTAGCTCTTAGAGGAAAGAGGAGAGAAAGAGAAAGGGGGCAAGAGACAGAGAGTAATCACTGAATGGCGATGGTCTCACCATGGGAACCACTAATATCAAAGGCTATCTGCTGAACACAACAAAGGCATACCTTAGTGGTAGCATACAATGACCATAGCAAACACAAGATGCATTAAATTAAAATGGAGCTGAAATGGGGTGCTTTCTCTAGATGCATTGTATGATAAATTATACATAATGCTCATCCCAGCATAGTAAAGAACTGCCAAATAAAAACAGTTCTAAAGCCCGTTATGGTCCCTGTAGCAAATAACCAACAGCAGTGGTCTATGCTGGACACGCTGTGGACAAGGTTGGCTTTCATCTTGAAATGCAGTTCAAAGCTATACGCTATGCACAGAACAAACTGGCAATCAAAGCTAATGTGTAACTGGGCAGTGGCACACTTCACAGAGCCTGTCATCTCAAGTGCTGCTGAGATCACACACAGATGCATTTCTCACATCACAATGGCGGATTTTCAACACACGGTCTTTGGAACATATTATTTTTCACCATGTAGAAGTTAAAAAAAGAAATTGCTGTTGAGAGCTGGTGCCTTTTGAAGGCCTTTCATGACTTGTTCATGATGAATGAGAAGAGGAGCATATACTGCATTTTCCTTCAGCTGGTTAATAAAGGCTTTCATTCTTCCTCAGTAACGCAGTCCCCAAGGATACCATTTGCTTGTTCCCAGTTTATATATGGGTGAATGAAGTGAAGAAAAATATACTTTTCTATAGTATATCTTTTGTTTAAAAGAAATATTGTAGTGGACTAACCACTCCATAAAACCAAGTTCTTTAGTGACATAAATATCATAAAGCTCTTTGTAGAGGGATTTCATAAACAATAGCCACACCAAGCATATGTAATGCTCAGAAGTTGTTATAATGTGCTACAGTAACATGGAACAAGTTGTATCCTCATATGGTTGATGAATGATGCTGTATTCTGCATGGAGTTCTACTATAATATGTTATGTTTTAGGTATTTGACAAGTTGAATCAGTGAGGAACTTTATTATATTGTGTCTATAGTACATACCTTTTGAATGAATATAATGCAGAATAAAACAAGGAATGTCAGGGTTTCACTTTTCTAGAAAAAAGAAAAAGAAAATAATTTATATATACACATTCAAGAGTCAAACCATTATCTCAAGGCTTTTTGGTAATAAACAAAACTAGTGTGTCTTTCTGTTCCTGTCATATGCTGTACTGCAAAACAATGACCTTTTAGGATATGGCACAATTTTACTGCCAGTATAATACAGACGTGATTAACATAAGTAAGAGTTAAAGTCAAACAGGCGTAAAGGTCGTCACTCAGGACTAGTCTCAGGTCTGCCAGGTGATTTACAACAATTTAATTTGACTGCGTGGAGTAATTTATCTGTGACAGAGCAAGTCATGCAACTCTCTGCATGTCGTGCGCACATACAGGCAACAATACGCCATGACTGCACACATCTCATATCTACACAATCAGTCACAATGTTTTACAACTTCTGTCAGAGGCCCTATCAGTCCTCATAAATTAGAAGGCCATTGTACATGGCGTCAATAACTTTTGAAGGAGAATCTGAGCCAGACCTAACCCAGTAGTATCTCTTTCTTTTATATGGAAGTCAAAATGCAATATGGAGGAGGCAGGGTAAGTCCTTTTGATGGTAGTTTAGAAAAAGGCTTCCTACTTTCACTAAGCTTAAAATTTCTTTCAAGGATATAAAACTAACCTAACTATTGACATTTGCTGCAAAGCAGGTGGCAGTCAGGTCTGATTGTGTGAAAGACTGCTTGCATTTCTTTTTACATCCTGCTTACCACCACTCTAACTGTAAGTCTCCAGCTATGCTTTGCATCTGTGTCATCTACAGATCCACTGTGACAGCTAGGGAATATGAGGCATGAATGATGTAGAACCATGCATAAACAGCAACAACAATAAAATGTGAAAGGGACAGAAAAATGAGTATGTGGGTGTGGAGTCGGCAAGCAATAACCTGCCGTGATTTATTTCAAAAAAAAATGAGAGAGAATATATATATATATATATATATATACATATACACATGCATGTGATTGATGTAAACTGCTGTCTGTTAGATAACCCTGCGCATATGTGCATGCACATGTATGTGTATTTGTGTACTTATGATAGCATGTTTGGCACTTGATGAAGTATGGAGTCTGCTGTTGGCACAGGATGCAGTGATTCTCCTGGTGTCACACTGGCAGAGCAAACCTGAGATTGAAGGAGCAGACAGTGAAAACCACCTGCAGGGATTCACATCCCACCACATTAAGTCACCTTTGGAATTTTCACAAAGGACAACTAAGGGTGTAGAGAAACCATTAAATGGGCCTCACCACCAAAGCATACTGTATGTTTTGCAGACAATTAGACTGAAATTGCCTGAACAAAGTGAAAGGCACATTCTCCCAATAAAGAAGAATGTCAGGTTTACATCACTGCTTTGACACTATTCAATCAAATGCTTATAGCACCTATGATGTATTTTTTGAGATGTGTTCTTCTCTAGATCAGTGAAATAAAAGCCAGACCATGCAGTTCAAGTCACAGAGGGGGAAAAAATGGATTTTCATAGTAACAAGGTATATATGCCTCTCATTCTCTTTGAGTGGTTCCAAATTACAAACAACATGGGAGGTATAAACAGTGCTGAATATTCTCAGGCTCTCAGCATGGCACACCTTGATGTGCAGGTGCTTTTAATAATAGAATAAGTCATCTGAGATTGGGGAGGCGAAAAAAACCCCACTCAACCAGATGGTCTCCATAAAGCATGGCGTAAAGCTCTCCCAGATGTTAAGAGGTTGTTGCGGATCCAGTGACATGCAACGTGAGGGAGGAACTGGTAATGCAAAGTGTATTAGTGGTCTCTTTATGGGTGCATTAGGTGCTGTGGAGGGGAACGTGGGGGCCGCCGCTGCTGCTGTCGATGAGCTACTACCGGGCTTTATGCTCTGATGAACCTACCCTTGACAAACCGGGACACCAGTGACCGTATTGTGTCACAGCTGGAAGACACCTCCCTCTCTTTAGTCTCCTGAAAAACATAAATCAGTTTCTCATATCATCATCTAATCATATTCAATGCATATGCAGCTCTAATCAGTAAATCTGTCACCTTCCACCCCCTTTTACTGATATATCAGATCATAATACTCCACTATATGAGGTAAATCTCTTACAAAGCCTATGTCTTTTAAAATTAAAAGACAGGGCTGCATGAATCAGAGAACTTCACTTGCAAACACCTACAGAGAACAGAGTAGCAGTTGAGTTTAGGATGTGTCTGTACAGTAGATGCATTTCAAAGTGTCATTTCTCTCCTAACAACTGAACAGCACCCCAGACAGGAAGCTAGTTCACTGTCCCCACTAAGGACTAACAGAACATCTCAGTCTGATTAATGGCTGTACGCTGTCTAATGAACAGTAATTGAATGGTATAATGCAGCAGCTCCTTAAAACCCCAAAGGAGTTGTCTTCCTCTGCCTAGTTCTCTGTAAAAGCAATGTGGTGACATTGTCTAGAGTTGATTATAGTTGACCTTGCAAGGGAAGAATAAGGCATCTGAAATGACTAACCTAAGCTGCGGGGAATAGGAGGATGGAAAAACAGCTGAACAACAAATAAAATGGACTTGCATCGGAAAAGGAAAGGATCGATGCAGTGGTCAATAATGATTCTATTTCTTATCACAAAATTCTTAAGAGGAAAACTATTGATCAAAGATCCCTAGTCTTATTGACATTTCTAACAATATTAATTAAGAAAAATGCTAAGCTGACTAGTTGTTAAATCAGCCAATATTGTTAAATCACAACAAACAATACCACACTAATAAGTACAAATCTACCCTTGTCTACATTTCCTCAAAATGTATGGCATCTACAAGACAGACAGTCTTCCCATATGAGATCAATCAGCTCCTTAACAGAGTATACTCCAAAGGAAAACTCAGCCTTCAGGAAGCCCAACACAAGTCAGTCAAGTATTAAGATTCAGGCTCAGGATGGACCCAGAATGCAGACCAGGACTAGGAGGAAGCTTAGAAGCTTTATTTTACAATAAGGATACCAAAAAACTAAGGTGGAGCTGTGGTGCCAGGAGTAGTCAGGTGAGTCAGGCAGGAGTGGCACCGAGGTAGCTGGGAACCAGGAGCATACAGGTAGGTTGTGCCGGGCAGAGAAATGGCTGATGGTGGTGGGTGTGGCCGAAGCACCAGGGGAAACAGGTGAGTCGAGCAAGCCAGAAAATGGACAGTGTGGCTGGAGCTTCAGGAACAGGTACGTTGAGCTTGACAGGAGTAGTGACAGCGTCACTAGGGAGTCAGGAACCAACAGCAGGTAATGTGGGACAGGGGACAAACTAGCATCAAGGTAAGGGGACTGAGTCCAACAGCGTCGCTGGCAGATCAAGAATACACAGTAGGTAATGTAATGTGGGACAGGGGACACACCAGCGTCGCTGGGGGATGCAGAAACTGACAGGTAAGGGGACAGAGTCAAGAGAGTCAACAGAGAGTTGTACTGGGGTAAAGCTGGGGCAGGTGAGATGATGCAGGACAGGAAGTAACCAAAATAAAAGCTCTCTGAACAGGAAATAAAGCTGAACCATAATATCAAGTGATTATAAGAAAAGCTCTGATAAATTTGCATCAGGCTCCAGTCCACCATCACTCGCTCTCTTCCACTGAGATAGCCTGCCTTCACTCCCAGCGGACATCTCCACTTGGCAGAGATGCTGAATCTCGTTATTCTTTATTTGGTCTGGACCACACAGGTCAATATCACACAACTGCCTCACCGGTGTACTGTCCGTAAATGAATTCACTATTTAAATCCAGTGCAATAAATCGTTTAAATGTTTGCCTGAAAATGCAATCATGTAATTGAATTTGGCCATCAATATCTACTACAGTATATACACACATATACAGAGTACACAGGGCATTTCTCAAGCATATATGAGCAGAGGCGTCGGAGGAAATCTGTTCAAACTCAGCTCAAGGCATAAGTCATAGCAGTATAGTTATCCCAAATTATTATTCACAGCGCTCTAAATGATGAGGCTGCTGACAGTGAGACAGCAACAGTCTGTTTGGCCTTAAAGGAAAAAAAGAAGTGTAAGTATGAATGATGGTTAGGTAAGTTTCACCTGCTGCATCATTTCTAGTCTGATGGCAAGTCTTTTAAATATACTGTACAATAAAACATGGAGGAAGATAAAACAAAGTTGCTGCCAAGTTGCTTTCCTTTATGAGCTACTGTAAGTTAGCACATTTCAGTGAAATAATGCCCTTGGCACTGGCACAGTTTGGATAGTTGTGATGTAAGCTGTAATTACTCCTGTTTAAGATGTGTTCTGGCATGACCCTTTTTAACTGGAGAGCTTTCAACAAAAAATCCACCTTCTCTTTTTTTGTCAGTCTTTGTTAGCTGACAAATCGAAAACTGCCTGGAAAGATGATTATTGCAAAAAGCAGCTGACTCTGTACAGGGATTATTATTATTTTCCATTATCTAATGGTCATTCCTGACAATCCATAGCCAATCTGAATCAGCAACATTCATGTATGACAAAAAGCAATAAGTAATGAATTAAGCTATTGATGGGGTCTTTAGCCAGGGTCATAACTGGCCCCCAGAAGTCAATAATTATCCCGATAAGAATATCTTTATTGCAAAAGTGCATACGGCAGCAAAATCATCACCACACCAAAACATTCCCCTATGGTGTAATTGTCATTGCTTGAAATTATAGTTTTCATTAAAATGAAATGTTCAAGATTATTGATTGCTTAAATAAGACTCAATATCCTCTCATTTCAAAGCTGAATGAAATTGCTTGGAATAGTAATAACACCCAACTATTGTGTGCATTCATCACAGTTACACTGCTTCATATCGCTGCACCTCGAGGAATATTAGAGCAAAATAAGTGTATTTAAATGAGTGTAATTTCTAGGAGCCATGGATTCCTGCAAAAACATCAGTACACACAGCTCAGCGCCACTGTGAACATACACAACCAGAGTTAAAGGACAGGCATCAAATACATGCTGCGCTGTTATCAGACTCTAAAAACAAACACAAACTTATATATTTTTTAAGCTTGATGCTGTGATTCATATACTATCTATGGCTGCAGCTAAATTATATAAAGTTCCACATGGAGCTCAACCAAGTGTCTTTAATCCTATATCTCCAGTACCTGTGCCTTCTACTGACTCTCCTTACTCAGAAGAAAGTACTGGTAAATACATAGTGTACAATATAACAGAGAGAACCATGATGGCAGAAAAAAACAGGTTAGAAATTAGATAAAAGTATATTTGCTGGAACCAGGTCTACAGTATGTGACTCTCATGCAATTATGAAAATGGTTATGATTACCATAATTGCTGGTTGGACCATTTTATGTGACCTAATCCAACAGCAAATGAAAAAATTGGACTAATAATAAAGTAAAAATGAACTATTAACTATAATAAAGGTACTTACATCCTTCCTGGGACCTGCAAACAAAGACTTCTGCAGAAAGAAGTCATCTGAAACATAAAGGGAGGCCTTGCAAAGACTCGCAGAACAAGTCCTATCCTCACACTGCTCGTCGACTATCTTGGCTTCAAGCTTCAGGGAGGGAAAAACAAGATCCCCCCGCTGGGTTACACAGTACTGTACTGCTGTATTGATTTTGCTAAATATTTATATATTTATGTAACTTTTTCTACTGAGCACTTATGAGCCTTACTTGGGGCAGAAAATGATGTGGAACTGTACTAGGAGTAAATTCTCTATTCTGTTTGAAGCCAAAAAGCGCATGGAAAAGTTTATCTTTATTACGCTCGACTGCAGCGACAGACACTTCTTCCATCTAAGACATTCCTTTTTGCATCACATATAAAGGGTTTTTGTGATGTTTATCAATATTTTCACTACACTTCTGTTGTTCTTCAGTGACAGCAAGCTGTCAGATTATGAGAACTAATAGGTACAGTTAGTACAGTTAATAGCATTAGCCCTTGGCCAGGTGACATATCTGTCTATGGTGATGTGTTTTCAGACTGGGGTCAGTTCTTACTTCCTGTCTGATAGAGGGGCTGAGAGGGTCAAAGGTTGCATGCTTAAGATCTCACCAGGGTACGATACTACATGGCGTTGCGTTTTACCTGATCAATTGGCAGGTCCACCTTCAGCTGGCAGTCCTCTTGCACTTCCACCGATCCTGCCATCTCACTTCTTTTGTTTTGTGCATTGAACACGCTCCCCTCTGAGAAGAGTGATTAATCACAATTACCTCATCTGCTGGCAGTCGCCATTTCATTCTTCTGCAAACTCTCATTCTCTCTCTCTCTCTCTCTCTCTCTCTTTTCCTCTCCTGTTCAACTTCACAAGAGATCAATGTTGCTGTCAAGCCACTTATTTATTTAGAGTGGTCCCACAAACAAAAGGCGTACAGAAAGCCACAGCTGCTTTGCCTCAAATATGGCCAGCCAGCGTGAACTTTCATTTCAGGGTTAGTTCCTGACAGTGACAGGTTGCTCTTGATGTATATGGGGAATAGCCTGTATGGAAACATCCTTTTCAAAAACTCCTTTTTGTCTGTGGCTGAAACTGATACAGGGTGGAAAGTGAATAATGAAACAAAGCACTGAGCTTGAGTCTACTTCAACAGCTGTAAGTCATTTCATTTAAATAATAACTAACCAAGCATGGCAGATTAATCAGTGATAAAACAAAAAAAGACAAAAAGGTTTATTTCATAGGTTTAGCTCAAAGAGACAATTATACAGCTGCAAAACATGCAGCCTTTATTGTGCTTTACTTGTAACATTATTTTTCTTTCAAATGGTTTATTATATCAGCTATCTTACAGTAGCAGTAGTTGTAATATATGAAAGGGTGGCAGTTTTCAACCTGTGGCAACTATCCAATTCATGCTTCCACATACAGTAAGTAGTATATTATTCGAGGCCCAGGTTGTCTTTCAATTTAGTTTTGGCTTGACCTTATCACGCTATTATGCGGTTAGCAATACAGAAATACGTGCTTTGTTTTCCACGCTGACAGTCTCTGTGCTGTGGATTGTATTGTTTACGTTGGTTCTTTTTGTTCACCTGTCCGTTCTCACGCTCCTGCTATCCTAGTTCCTGTCGTTAGTTTGTGTGTTTACCGTCCTGGTCTCCTTAGTCATCACTGCCCTTCCCTTGTATGTATTATGGACCCTGTTATGTTGTCATGATGTTTTTATTCCATTAAACCACATTTTTTGTACTAGCACCTGGGTCAGCCATCTTGAGTCCAACCCCAGTTCCCCCTCACCCTCCTGGTGAGGGGGACTAAACCATAACACTTCTAAAGTGTGCAACTAATACAATGCTCAGACCCAACAATCTTAAGTATTTTGTCACTGTTATTTGTGATTCACTTTTAACCACTGTGGCTCCTACAGCAAGAGTAAATGGGAGTATTCTGTTTTTACCCACATCGTTCTGGATTAATATTCAGCAAAATGGTTTGATTGGATTAATCTGTTTTTAGTCCCATTGACAGCGTTTGAAGTCTTGTTCTGTTTAACATTCCCAGAAAAGAGTGTTTCTGTCAAAGAGCAGGGTGTGATGGTCTGGTTGGACTTTAAGAACAAGTTTCCAAGAACAAGGACCCAAAGAAGCTTCTTTACAAATGGTAGATTTTCACTGTGATCCTAACACACACTAGACCCCTCACATGCAAACACAGAGGAATGTATAACGGTGCACATTCTTATGTGTCCTCAAATGTAGCCCTACACATGTAAATGTACGCTTCCATATGCACGTACAGATTCTGTCCCAAAACATGCATATACATAAAAAATCAAAAGCTAATAAGTTTCTATATTTCATCATAGCAGGAAAGGAGGTGTTAGAGGGATAAAAGTACTATGAGGATGTCAATCTGGACAGAGAGAGAGGGAGAGAGACACTTCTGTAGAAGTGTTCAGCTTACCCCCTGTTGCGAGGAGAACTGGGTTTCTGGACACCTGCCTCTGTTGTTTGGCTCTTTCTGGTTTGGCTGTGTGTTTCTGCATCTGGCCCCTGGCTGTGTGCTCAAGGTCCTCTCCAAAGCCTGTGTGAGCAAACTACATGGAGAGACAAAAGAGAGGAGAAAACAGGAGCACAGATTAAGGCATATTTCCCCAGATGTCTCTGTGATTCATCATCGACGTTTTGCTATTGTTTTGTAAAGAGGAAGAAAAGACAAAACTCGGTGAGACAAAACTTGTTTCTCTGCTTTTTTCAATGCTTTTTCCTCTTTTTTACACTTCCCATTGACCTCAATTTTTCATGAGCTGATATGCTTCGTAGCTCCCCCATAACCCCCACTATACTGAATTCATCTGGTTCCAATACATCCAGTGCACAACCTATCAATCACTAGAGAGTGTGGCAAACTAATCATTTATTGATGAATCGGGGCAGCCATGAATTTCTGACTGCATTTGTCTTATTTATCAAGTCAGATCAAACAATAAAAATCCAAACAAGCTTAAAGGGAAAGGGAGGGAGTCGTAGAGAATAACTTACTCTTCAGCAGTAGAGAGCATAAGGTTATTGATGGAGAGGAGAGCGAGAAAAGAGGCTTAGTACTGCGCTGCATGGTGAAAGAGTGAAGGAGCAAGATAGGATAAGAGAAAAAGAGAGAGAGAGAGCAGTGGGGAGAGGTAAGAGTGATGTTCAGACAGCAGGGTACACATCTGAATTAATGCTTCCACAAAAGGCAATTTTCTCCTCATAGGCTCCTCATCCCCTCTCTAGGTATCAAGGTGAGGTATGTCTCCCTCACAGAGAATGAGAGACACAGACACAGAGAGCAGACTTAATGTGTCTTTTCAGCTACAGTGCACTTTACTGCAGTTGTCTCGCTGGATCTCTGTGCTGGCTTGGAGGATAGTGTAGTGATCTCAGGCTTCCACCAGAATACACTTCTGGCAATGGTGTTTGCAAGCTCACTAACATGGAGGCTGGGGAATAGCAGTGTTGTTTCTTTACTTGTTTGCTTTCTTTAATGTGGAGGCAAAGTCTGTTGATATTCTTTTTGAGTTTCTACAGCTGGTGGTGGGCCGAGGGAGAACAATAAACCAACAAAAGACGAGTGAAATTTGCCTAGTATATTCAGCGAAAACGAGTTCACACTAGAGCTGTGGTGTCCACAAGTGTGCGAGATCAAAGGCAGAAGAGCAGTGGCACTGTCGCAGTGGTACACTGTAATCTCAGTTCATCTGTGAGTGATGTGAAACAGCTTCCCGCTAAAGTTCAAAATCAAAACATATCTGGGCTTTCAAAAAGTGAACAGCTTGTTTTCCATGTGTACAGTCTGGAAGTGAGATGTAAATAGATCATATTTAAATGAACATAGTTAAATGAAGACTGTCTCATTCAGGGAGGAGATGGCAGAAGACGAGGGGTGCTGCAAAGCCAGGAGAGTACAGTACAAGTAGCGGTGCAACTGGAAACACGGCAGTGAGAAAGCTGAGGTCATCTAGCCCCTCATTCTGCATTACACATCTACAGCGCCAGGCCCTACGAAAGCAGACAACTGTGTGTATCCCAGACAGAGAGAAACAGAGTGCTAGAGTTCGTGTGAGGCTCAGGGGGATCGACCAGCGAATAATCTGTGGCCCTCTCAAATGGCAGAGAACAGGAGTCAACAGGAGGACACTGTGATATGATAGCCAGGGGAAAATAGGGCTCCCAACCACTTGGACCAAGCGGCCTCCAGCCATACTGGCCGTGGTATCAGTAGAAGCCACTTCCAGGGCTAGGTCCTCAGTGAGCAGACATGCTGGCAGCAGTGCCTAGGTATAGTTTTCCTTGGGGCATTGCTGTTTCCCCTAACCAATGAGATCATCCAAGACAGTGCAGAATGGGGCTCAGCGGCAAGTCATCACTGATGTCATAGAGTGCAGCTATTAAAGGTTTAGTCAGCCTTTCTAGGCTGTTGTCACAGGATGCTTAGTGTGAAGCACAACTGCACTGCTTAATACTGTAATATAAAAACACTTTGATGCACACCATTATTTTTTCTCATTGTCTCCTGCATTCCTCTCTCCCCTATTAATCTTCTCTTTATGCTATGTCTACCTCAAAAGTTTCTACCTCATCATGTCTGTGAACACCTAACTCAGCATATATGCTCACTTCCAATGGGAAGATAGAGAGTTTTCACTCTGCGGAGCAGTCAGTTAAACTTTAGACCATAAAAAAAAAGGACAGAGAGTGAGTTTGTGAGAGCAAGGTTACATCAAGCAACAATGGACATGTGTAAAGGTTCTTTTGTAGTCATTACAAACTAGACTGCTGTTGTTTTGTGAGGTCAAAGTGAAGTTAATGATTGCCCCGACCCTATAAACGTGTGTGTAGTCAGTAAGCGAAACAGCTGATAGATCAAAACAAAGTGGGCATGTTTTGTCACTTGTATCTGTCCCTACTAAAATGTCTGTATTAACGGGTCAAATCATATTTACAAATTTATGAAGGATCAGATGAAGAGGCAAGGAAAGTAAACTGCAGCAGCATCATGTGTGGTGAATGACTAATACTTCAGTGAGTTGGTGGATACAAAACACAGCCACAGCTCTGTCTCTGTCTCCACCTCATGGTACTGAGTGAAATGACAAAGACAGTAGTCTTTGCATTGTTGACTTAGATTTCCTTAATGTGTTAGGGCTGAACCTCAGCTGAGCAAATTTTGACAACATCTGTCATCTTAGATGACGATTTCTCTTTTTTTCAAAATCATCAACATTTAAACAGATTATAATATATTGATAATAAATCAATCTAATTTCTGAATATAATGGTAGTCAGTCACATATACCACAAGAGATAAGGCATGAAAAAACTAGCATCTGCCACAGTGTTGTCATCTTTCATGTTTAGAAAACTCAGATGTCAGACACATCTCTCTCAGGGGGCCCCGTCTCCACCTCAAGCTGCTGAGTGGGCATGTTTTCATCCTCAGTGTGTGAGTTCATATGGATTCAAAGCATTTCACTGTCTACTTAATCACAATCCAAATTGTCCTGGTTTGAATAAAAAAATAATTTTTTGCACCCCTGTTGCATATGATCTGTCTACAAGGCTCACTGCACTTGATCAAGTGGGCAGCCTGTGTCTGTGGGGATTACCCATCAAAGTGGAAAGCAACAGTAACTCAATGCCTCCTGCAGACAATGATTGATGATAGTGCTGTTTCATAACGAATTGTGACCCAACAACAAGTCTCACACGTGGGAAATGTTAAATGAAATGTGATGTGTGCAAAAATAGACTTTCTACTGTGATACTACCAAGCTGTTACAGTAATAAACTAGAGAATTTAGGGAAAAAACCTGTAACAAAATGAAGAACTAGATGAAGAACTGCACCAAAATCTGAAGCAGATGTACTCACCACAGACTTCGTGTCTCATCTTTCTAACAGCAGGCAGGACTTCTTGGCTACAGGGACGAGAAGGCAAAAAAAAAGAATTGATAAACACATTTCCTCTTTTCACCAATAGAGCTGCTCATTTAATTTATGTTAACAAAAACCTATTTCACTGACTAAACGTCACATACACTTCTTTCATGTTGTTCTCTCTACATCTCTTGGGATGCACTGGTCATATGGGAGAGCTTTAAACTTTTCTGCACCAAGTGCAACGTAGTACTGGTTGGTCACCAGTTCAGTGGGGCTGCAGACGGGACGTCCATCTAACCTGCAAAGCCTGGGAAAGCAAATAAAGAAATACCATGAAGTTTAGCGATGTCCTGCCAGTGTTTCATCTATGCTTACTGGGTAGAAGTACAACATAGTTAGATGTATATAAAAGAATGAATATTATTATTTTAAATTTAATGTTAGCAAATTTTTAAAAACTCGACCAAGCAGTGTTTATCTAACAAGCAGTTTTGGATGAATTCCAGTGAGCACATGGTTGTGACGTTATTGTGACTGGTTAACTTTTAACAAACGACATTTAAGACAATAGAAGACATTATTTCTGTCAAGAAAATAAAATCATAAAACTTTAAAAATATGTAGGCCATTTTGATTAAATCAAGGCAGAATTCATGGTATTGAATACAATATACTAATATCAGACATTACATTTGCACAGCACCGGTACGAAGATGCACTTTCTCTGTCACCATAGCTAAAACATTTGGCCAGCTTCTAAGAGTATACTTCAGGATATGTATTCGAGCAGGAGGCACAAGGACATCTCCGTTGGTAAACACGCTATGAAACACAACAATATATGAACCAAGGAGAAGTGAAAAAAAATTTCTATCACTGCACTCCTCAACAAAGAACATTCTCCTCATTACCTCCTAGCTAACTTTGCATCTGGCTTCAAATCAATACTCACTTTACTGTGCAAGATTCATCAGCGGTTTTCCTCCAGCAAGAAGAAACTACAATTTTGCTGTGAACAACAGGTAAGATCTGAAATTTTTAAAACTAGGGGTCAGAAAATGAATACAGGCTAGTTGTAAATAAGGAACGAGCCACATATGTGTCTGACTCAAACTCTGATGTTGAATGATAATGGTGTTTTTGTGTTTATTATCACTGTTTGGTTCTGGATATTGTCATTCACTGTCAGAATTTAGGTCACAGAGGTGCAACCCCCCACTGAAGAACACCTGTCATACTGCATGGCTACATGTAGCACCTGAAATTAAAGGTTAGATTTAGTTCAATAATGTTATTATAACTGATTAAACACAAAATTTGGTTTTGACTGTCCTTTTTTCTTTATCTGTGGCTTCTTGGTTGTGATCTCACAATAGCTGTAAAAGATTAAAACCTCATGTAAATTACTCAAACCAGGCCTTGACATAGTCTATGCAGTTACTGGTAAAGATAGATGGAATACATCTTTATACCTGATTATGCCAGTTAAAATCAGTGGTGGAAGAAGTAATCACATCCTTTACTTAAGTAAAAGTAGCAATACAACAGAGTAAAAGTATTCTGTTACAAGTAAATCAATGAGGTCTTATAATTATACTGTATTTTTTTCTATTAATATGATTATGAAAGGTAACTAGTAACTAAAGTAATAAAATAAATATAGTGGAGTAAAAAGTACAATATGTGCCTCTAAAATGTAGTGAAGTAACAGGAAATGAAAATACCTAAGTTAAGTACAGATGCCTCAAAATTGTACTTAAGTACAATACTTGAGTAAATGTACTTAGTTACTTTCCACCACTTGTTAAAATGAAATACATAGGTTAATGACATGTAAAAACGTATTATTAATTACAGAGTTCCAAAACAGGCAAAGTCCCATCCATGGCCAGGTCTCAAAGTACACACATCCAGAAACAAGGTACCTACTCCAGCTTTCTGAACAGCTCATTTCCGGCTGCAACATATTCACTCCCGTGTTTTAACTCGTCCAGATGCTGAACTTTGTGGCCCTGTAAGGGGGTGTAGAGTTTCCTCACGGCACCAAAGGGACCTTCAGTCACTCTAGTTAAAAAGGCCAAAAAACTGTCGAAAGTGGACACCTGCCGCGGGTTCACAACTACTTTTCTTCCGGGGAAAAAAAGCGTCTCCATTCCTATAGACAGTTATTGTTTTTGTCGGTGGTAGGTTGCTTGTCCCTGATGTGCCGGGCATAGTTAACAGAACCAGTTACAAACAACATCCAGTAAATGTGACGTGTCAACGGCAGATGTGTTGAGCCTCCGGAGACGTAACTTGAGATGGCACCTGATAGGGAAACCAATTCTTCCACAGGAGAAGTCTGTGCTGTTGTTTTATGGAGTTTCTCTGTGGCATGTGGCTAACATTAATTTAGTGTTTAACTCAAAAACTCAATTGTCTCCATGGCAACCCACAGGGGAATCAATTAATGGGTTCTAAACAATTTAGAGATGATCACAAATGTAGGCCTATATCAGATTAGCCTATACACCTAGTTCAAAACAACAGCACACATCAGATGTCCAGCCTAACATTTATTTCTCCCGTTTTTGCTTTCCATGTTATAGGCTGTGGAATTTTGTTTCAGCAGTCCTAAACAAACTAATGGACCTGTTGGAGTCCAATATTGGCTCAGTTTTAAACAGGCTTAGGTACACCAACTTATTAAGAATTTATATGGGTACCATTTTTATTTGGGTGTCAACTTTCTTCACCGTTTGTTTTATGGGTCTCTAAGCAACTTTATGTTGGATGTGCAGGAGGCTATCCACAGATGCTAATGAGAGGCACTGATACACACCCATGTGGACCAGTAAACTTACTCATTTGGCTTGTAACTGGCTTGCCAACTGAACAAGGTTACAGTTCCCCTGCCCCTAGAATTGTCTATTTGTCATTACTAAGGTAATAAAATACTATGGAGAGAGAGAGAGAGAGAGACAAAGAATGGTATATGTTAAATTTTAATGTTCTACACCTTATACTTTCACTCCTTTTCCACTCCACATTCATTCATGCACACTGATAAAAAAAAGTAGCATGCCTTTCCAAGATATTACTTGACTAGAAAGACATTTTAGTCCTTTTATTTTGAGCTAAAACATCACTGCTACTGTACATTACAATAGAAGTGGATATAACACTACATGCTGAGATTTTTTTTTCTCATTTTCATGCACTGTAGCCGTATCTCCCACTTGCAGACCATTTTTACTATAGATTATCTGTCAAACCAATGTTAGACAGCAGTATCCAAATTGTTTACCCCAGAGGTAACCAGAGATTGCACCAACAATGGCACCTAATTGGTTTAGGCCAAGCAACTCTTGGTCAATTAAATGCATAATTCATCTCGGCATTAATTATTCATTCCTTAAGGGACTGGTGCTGTGCTTTATTAGGAGAACTGCATCATGCATATTCAAATTCCTCACAACAGGATATCATCTGGGATGCCCATCCTAAAACACAATAGCAGTCCAGACTGTAATGGAAGATTTTCAATGAAAATGTCGTACCAATCTATGTGGTGTAATGTCTCCTCTTTATCATTTAGCAAACAGTGAAATAATTAATTTGCTGTTTTTTTTTACTCTGTTGTGTCTAGCAATACATTATTTTTGAAATAATAACTTGTCACATCACAGAAAAATGTCACTGTTAATTTACCCTAATATAAAAATCATAACACTATATACCAATGTGCTGATTTAATTCACTACTTAAGATAAACTTCAGCATTGTCCCCAATATTAATATGGAAAAATCTTCAAAAATCAAGTTTAAATAAATATCCCACAACATCACAGTCAAGTCTGTGGTGCAGATTAAATGGTGTTTTACCTGAGTGGTGGCATTTTTGCTTCTTAGTGATGATGCTCTTCTACTGTAACTAGAGCCCAGTGTGTGGTTACCTGAGGAGATGACTCCTTTGTCTTGGCAAGTGTAGAATCTGGGAGTAGCAGTGGGAGAGTTTCCTGTTCACAAGTCAGCACTTGTGAACAGGAACACAGATGATTTGAGATGTGAGATAATAGTGTTCCCTATAGACAATACATGAGACAGACTGTTGATGCATCATTTTGTGTATTAGCGATTGCAGCCAAAGGACCTTTGCATACTACAAAAGGTTTTATCTGTTGACAGTATGGTTGGGAAACATAGCCATTCTTTTAAAGGTTTTAACTTTTATAGTACATGTGAAAACACAGCAATTATTCAAGTACCACAAAACTATATATCCAAAATCAACATTTGCTTTAATACCATGGATTTTAGCATAGATGACTTTAATATGATAGAACACATTTTGACATGTCACAGTAACACACAGGTGTCAACAGCAAAATGAATTTCATGTAGTTGCTTCAGTTTCAACAAAGCTAGTGTGAATTGTAGCTGTAACATGTACTTTTCCTGCCATGACAAATAAAAATGTGTGCTGTGAAAAAATCCTTATGGAGCAGCCCAAGCCACAAAATATGTCCCAGTTTGAGAACTTCTTACAATGTAGTGCAGTTTTTATCCACTGGGTGGCGACTGTCTCAGGGTTTGGCTCAAGGCGCCGCTCCACTAAATAGGCAAAGTCAACTCTGGGGCAGAAAATAATGTTCAGACACAATTTCTTTCTTTCTTTTCTTTTTTTTTTTTTAAATTATCACTTCAATGTTTATTGGCCAGCAACTGCCACATAACATATTATATAAATACAGAATGCATATTGTATTCCATTACTCTGATTAAAAGCACCCGACTGGAACCAAAATCCTTCTTTTAATTTAATACTTTTTACATAATCTACAGCTCTCTGCATTTGCTTATTCATCTGGTTGGCTGATGTTACTGTTGCAAATATTGCTTAGTGGATAGTTTACATAACATAAAGATTCAGTACATTGCCTGGCATGCTGTTGGAAGCACTAATGAATCAGAGTATGAGAACAACGGTGTACTTAAAAGAAGTAGATATCTAACATCAAGTAAAATCATTTTTTAAGTGATTTAAAAAAAAAAAGCTTAAAAGTGAATAAAGAAAAGAGGAAGTAGAACATATACTACCGTGCACGTGTATGTCATTTTGTCGTCATATTTACAACTTAGAAGATACAGCTCAAATGCTGTGAACACATGTAATCATATTTATCATCTTTCAGCAGTATCATCAATAAAGACTTTACTTAGATACTATCTTTGTCAAATTCGCAGACAAAATTCATGGTGGGATGGCAAGCCACATCGGTCCACTCCCCTGAGGCCACCATCTCAGCACAGTCCTCATCATCATAGGCATTGTTTGGCTCTCCTCTTCTCCATTTACTAAAGGTAGTCATGGGAGAGCGATCCACATAGGTGAAAACACCCTCGTGGTCCAGGTCATGAATGCCAATGTAGACTCTGCTCAGACCTGCTTCGGCAATGCACCCTGCGACAGCCGTGTTGGCTCCTTCATCCTTGGGCATGGCCAGGTGCCCTCCCCTCGCCTGGCAGTAGGCCTCAGCATCAGAGTAGCGTTTCTCCTCCTTCACCAACAGATAGACCTTACTATCTGTTTCTTTTATGCCAGCAACAGCTGCAGGGGAGGGCAGTGCTGAAAAATGAGCACTTGTATTTCCATAAATTTCACATTGATATGCCCAGCATTTGCAGTTCTTTAAGGCTAATAATAGGTGAAGCAGTATCAAGCATGATGCCAAAATGTTTTCAAAATACACAAGTATTTTTTAAAAAGAATGCCAAGCTCATACCATTTTTAATAAATTTCAGTTCAGAAGACAGCTGAGACACAAGAATGTCCATTTCTCCAATCATCTTCCTCATCGGCGTGCACTCACATGGAACACCTGTGGGTGATTGCCACACAGTTGTCATAATTCATTTTCAAATTTTCACCAAATGTGTCTTTAATCCTGCATTGATGTTTTTGGCAAACTGAATAAGATGGTATAATGTCTCACCTGGCTCTCCATCAGGGCCCCTTGGACCTGGCTCCCCGATGTCTCCTTTTACCCCTGATGTATGAAATGTACAGTATTATTCACAAAAAATGAAATACTCTTAATTAATTCCCAAACAGCTACTGTATCTGAAATACTTTGTACGTTTTATAATCACCTTTTATTCCACTTGGGCCCATTTTTCCATAGCGTCCCATAATTCCTTTCTGTCCTTTAACCCCAGGTTGACCTGAAAAAAGTGAGTGTGACCAGAATTTTTTTTTTTTTTACATTGCAGCCTATTCAAAAAGCTGTATGTCTCTCATGCTAACTTCTGTGCCTTGAAAGATTAATTAAATTAAACTTTATGAAAATAAGTGAAATTGTCAAACCACTCTTTATTTCAACTAAGGTGTGTTAGAGAGTCTGTGCAATCTCCTTTAAAGCCCTCATTAAGGTCTTCAGTAAACACTCCACAGCAGCACATTCTGCAAATCATTTCTCCTACAACCTCTCACCCAAATGTAAACACTTGGCCATCTCTGCATGGCCTGCTAGTGATGTAACAGCACATTATCAGTCAGCAATGTGATCTTTCCCCCAGTTCTTTTTAGTTTCAGCTTAGTGGTGAAAAAATGAATATATTCATAAGCTGGTGTGTATTGGTATTGATGTAAATTGGTATATATTTTCCCCTGTATTAAGAAACAAAACATAGTATAATGGTATATGCTGTATATATACCAATCTCTCCAGGCGGGCCAACTTTTCCTGGTCTCCCAGGTGCTCCTTTTTGTCCTTTCTCCCCAGGTTCTCCTTTTGCAGAAAAAGATTTTAAAAATTATAATAATCAGAAAATGTGAGTTTCTATTTTTGTTCACTTTGTATGCTCCATGTAACTACATGCCTTTGAGTCCAGGGACAAGGATCTGAACAGTGCAGGCCTCTTCTGCCACATGCTGTCCATTAGACATCTGTACTGGTGAAAAACTCATCATCACAGACATTAGTATCATTGGTAGTAACAGCTTCTCTCCTCTCATTCTTCTACATGGACTGCTTGGTAGTTTATACTGGAAAAAGAGGAGAAATTGAGAAAATATATTATCTGTAATATAACTAAAACTTAATTATATATTTCTTTAAGAAAATGCAGAATTGAAATAGTGGAATCAAAAGTGAACGTATGCTTCAGTAGCATACCAGTAAAGTAAGTTAATTCTAAAATCTCTTAGTATAAACCAGTTATCTTTTGCATCCAGTTTTACCAAGACAGGCAGAGAACACACCCTACTGCAACAAACCATCTTCCCAAGAAACTACAGTATATGGTACATGCAGCATTGGTATCACAAATACCACAAAAGAACTTTACAAAAGTTGTGATACTTTTATCCTAAGAAATACTGGGAATAGCAAAAATATCCACCACATTTGAAGCCACAGACACTAGCATTCTTTTAGCCCAATCTACGCATTTCTATCCATTAAAGCTTGATATATAGCAAATACAGGACTTAGAACAACATTGGCAAAATTTCCTGGGGACAAAGTGGTTACAATATACAAAATAGTATTCTGAATATCAAAATATATATGGCCTACCTGCCGAGGACCTTCGCAGACAGAAGGAAAACGTATCGCTATCTTACAAAGACTCGCAGAGCTGTGAACACTGGTGGTCCAACAGAAACATTTCATGTTACTCCACAGGCACCACAGAATGTGTGTGATAGGACATTTATAAACACAGATAAAGGCCAAAGCAGCTGGGGCCACACAGATAATTGGCTGGGAAAGTAGCACAGTGAATGGCAATCAGACGTAATAAAGCCAGTGAATTTTCAAGGTATTTTAAATATTTTAAGAGAATTGCTAACATTTTTATTAGCCACTACATGTATTAGTACTGCATTAGCCTTTATTTTAATAACATGGCCAAACATAACACCGCTAACTCTCGTATCTATCTGTAGTGTTGCTTTGCCATTGAATTAATAAAAGTGCCAGTTCCCCTAAAGTTCTTAAAGTTTGTGTATTATTAACAATTATTTTTTCAGAGTGCTTCGTGTCCTTTTTAATTTAAAAGTGCGCTTATGTGGACACACAAATAAATAAACAACACACTGGCATTGCAAAAACACACAACAGTACTAAATATATACATAAAAGATTTATACTTTGCAGAGATTTGCAGTGAAATATGTGAAGTTGTTGCTCATGTCTGTAGAAAAAGCTCACAAAGTCATGGGGTCCACTGTAACATACGGTACCACTCTGATTCAGTGTCATTAAGGATTATTCATAACTGGTGTATGTCTGAGCAGAAATATGGCTGAATCTACCCTGATGTTGACATGTACAGCACAGTAGATCTCTTACAATTACTGGGGTTATCTTTGTTCCAATAAGAGCTGGTTCTATAATTTTCTAAGACACAACTCCAAATTTGTAATTCCATCCCCAAAATGTATTCTGTGTCAAAAAAATTAGCATGCATTCTATGATTTAATATGAATACTGTAGTTTCTATACTGGGCTTCTGCCACTGTCATTTCCCTGGTGTGCACTGGTTTCTTCCCAGCACATTCCTTCCCCGCCCTTTACTCTTCTCTATAACTGTCACTGCTTTGAGATTTGGCTTTAGACATGCAGATCTGCTTCTCCCCAGTATGGCCTCATGATGGAGCCATTATCCATACATGCACAGTAGTGGACTTGGTGTGGATAGTACAGTAGATATATAATTTTCGATTTTCTTTGTAGTTAATCAGTCAGAAGTACACTAACCCACATATTATATAATCAAAACAACAAAAGAGATTTTTAGGTTTTTAAAAGACATCAATCCCAATTGGCTATTTGTAATACAAGTGGTGTTACAATGGTTGTCTGTGTTCGTTATGTGGACTAGAGAGAAAAAGGAATGGGCAAATTAACAATATAATGAGATTCATAATTCTCAGTCACTGTTGTATTTAGCTGCTGTTAGTCTAGAATGTCTTGGTATATCCAAATATGTCAGATCTGATATGGTCAAGTGATGCTTTTCTTTGTTGCATTATTTAGGATGTCATGCTATTACTAACCTGGACTTTTAACTTGTGAAGAAAAAAGTCATGCGAGAGTTTACATGATGTCATCCAGTGTCAGTAATCAGATACGGTCCAATGCAGAAGTATCAGATGTCCTAATTAGATTTACAAGCCCAGTAGCAGCTTTCAATGGTGGATTGGGTGTCTCCTTCAAAAAAAATCCCTCAGACGTTTTAGGTTACCTGCCTTCAAATATTTATGACCTTACTATCTTTTAAAGCAGCCAGTGAGGTAGCCATGTGTGTACTAAATTTAATCTCAAATTATAGTGTTATAATGATGAAATGCAAAATAATGTATAGACTAATGAGCTGGAAAATAAGATTCTTCACATTATCACACTGAACATTTATTTTGACATATAATGTTTAAATTTATATGCACTAAGTGCATGTGGTGTCCTGGTATAGGCCTACTGTATGGGTTCAAACACAAAGAGATGCCACATGATCCTTTCCATCATTTTCTGTTCCATCTCAGTTTTCACCAGATTTTACTCTAAACATATTTCAAAAACAAATTGAATTGTTATATCATGCATAGACAGTATGGCAACATATTTAGAGATACAGCCTACATCACTGTTATCAGCAGTGTTATTGTGAGGGGGGAATGCTAATTAGGAACATGCCTAGCATATTAAGCATTTAAATGACCAAATAACACTGAATTCCCCATATATGCAGTATTTTTCCTTTGCAAAACCGAAGAAACTAAACAAAAACACAGCCACTATCGGACACAGGATCTTAGGAGCAGTACTTCAACGCACCTTCCGAGGTTTACAGTCGGAGTGACGTCAGCAGCGCTCACCGGAGCGCGAGCCCAGCCTATCGTCCAGACGCCCTGCAGCGAAAACACCGACAGAAGCGGACTGCTGCTGTAGCTTCTCATCCGCATGAAGGACCTTAAACGTGTCACTATCGCCTTAAATATAAATTTAACTATCTGAAGGATACAAGTCGTAAGTATGCCCACTTAACTTTTATTTTGTTTTTAACCTTATAGCCAGGCTCAGAAACAACTTGCGCTGCCTTCTTTCTATTATGTTTTCAATATCCAGGGATAGAACGAATGCATTGCTGTTGGTTTGCTGCCAGACCCTTACAGTTGTGGCTTATTTATAAAGGGCTTAGTGCCGTTAGTAGCGTGTGGGGATACTTTTAAATTCACCTACTGTAATTATGAGATTGCTTAAAAAAACACAGGAGGAATGACCAACTAGTATGACATTCTAATAGAAACATTGCTTTACTAAATAATTTTACTAAGGCCAACATATTCTCGTGGTTGAATTATTTATTTGCCTGGTTTTCATTCAACTGCCATCTCACATGGTAACTTTTACTATCTCTGACATGTTGCCATTCCTTTGCAAAGTCTGCACACCCCTACTAAACCCCCAAATCGGTCATATTCCGAGCATGATTCTCCATAGACCTCTGACAATGCGACCTCTGTGAATGCTTCTCTAAATCCTGTTGAGCTGATTTCAATATCCAGTGCATTTTCCATGTCTCTTTTGCCTGGTAGGGAACAGGAAACAAGAGACAGGAAACAAGAGGTGTGTTTGTGCGTCCTGCTTTAACTCTGAGTCAGTGTCCATTCATTTGTTTCCTCCTCTATGTACACTACATCTCTCTGTGTTTCACATGTGACAATTTTCTAATTTGCACCGTCCCACAACTGGGCTTGGATCTCACTTGATGCATCACCTCTCTGGCTGGATTAGGGTCAAATACTAAGAGGATTTAAGGGTGCAAAGTCAGAGTTACTCATGGGGGACTGGCCTCAGTTTCGCTGAGAGCAGTTAGTGATATCTTTGCTTTGTGATGTAGACTATAAGGCTGAAGGCCATCACCCTAAGTGATATGCTAGATTGTTTGGAGGTTTTCTTTAAAAACAGCATGCAGATCTGTAAGCTCTTAGTTCAGTGAGCACGTGCTGTATATTAGGAAGACATGCATCTTGTATGAAACTGTGTTTGCAGTAGACTAGCATAGACTGAATTTTCTTGGTGTGTGGTTATTTAAGAATGTTGTATTTACTGTTCTGCATACTGTATGTTCATTTACAGTGTTAGGTTATTTCGAATAATAGCTTATAACAGCAAGATGTGTACAATCATAGATGTTTCCTAAATTATCCTATTTTTGTTAAAATGTGTAACACACCTGTATTGTCATATCCAGAATTAAAGCACTTGATGAACTGTTAATGTACAGTACAGTCAGTGTTCATTTTTGGCCATACAGTTCTTGTACAACTAGTTTAACTTATTATTTTATTGGGTTTACCATCATATTTCAAATGTGGCTTACATACTGTATACTGTATACTGACACTCAGCTTTAGGCCTCAGAAATTGGCTAACTGTGATTTAAGTGTATACAGCCAGTATGCAGTAACTACTTCACTAATCTACCTAATTTTACTTTTTAATTTTATTTAACCTTTTTTTTTACGAGTAAAAAAATCTGTCTGAGGTTTACAGCCTCTTTTTCAAGGGATCCCTGGCAATGGTGGCATGAAAAAGTTGCAGACAATCAAAAATACATCCAAGACTAAAATTATGTAATACATAAAATCCTCCAATAACCAACTGGGAACCAGTACAAACACAAAATAAGCCCTAAAATTTTGTGTTTTGATAGCATAGCCTTGGGCTGACATTCTTTAGCTCAGATACTACAAAGTCCAAAGTGCAGACCTGAAATTCTGCAAAAGAGATTGATTGGCTGGGCAGTTTCTACCTGAGGTAGTGTTATCCTCACTCAGGATTGCAGGAATATCTCAACTTTTGTTTTTCAACTCTGCTGCTGTGCAGAAAATGTTTAATACATATTGTGTGGCCATCCATGTCTTGGGGAAAAGGCATTAGGAGAAGCAGGTTGCTTGTTTCATGTACTCAGGGAAAATGTTAAACTGTACAGTACTTTGCATATCAATTTAACACACCCACAATATGTGTTTTACTTTAGTCATGTTGTCTATTCCCGTTTTTGCCTCTTTCCTTTTCCTAGTTGTGTAGCTGTGCTGACTGGAGGTAAACCATGGAGGACGGGAAGCCAGTATGGGCGCCCCACCCCGCTGATGGGTTCCAGCTGGGTGTGATCATTGACATAGGAGCTGATACGCTCACCATAGAACCACTGACCCATAAGGGCAAGGTGGGTCATCACTCATAAACACACAGGTGCATACACAAACCCCAGCTTTCCATTTGTAGCACAAGTTAAGTCCAACTGAGAAATGGGTGTGGAGCTGAGGTAGTAGTAATGTTGATGATTGTTTTGCTTTCATACAAGTTGATGTGAGAACTGCACATTTACTGACTGGGTTACTTAAACTGGCTATTTTTTGCCTTACAGTACTCAACATGTAGACAAGTGCTTAGTTGTTAGTGCTAAGTTCATATACAAGACTTTCATGGAAGAATTAAAAAGCAGTTTAGTAGGAAATGAAAACATATGTTTTCTACAATTGTGTTGCAGTCTGTCCTATGGAAGAATTAAAAAGCAGTTTGTAAGAAACAAAAACATATATTTTCTACAATTGTGTTGCAGTCTGTCCTAAGTGTGAATTCAGTTAGACAGCACAGCAATGTGTAAAATGTGAGAAACATGAGAGACCACACGTATAGTGGCATGAATAAATAAAGAGAGCAGCAGCAGGTACACTGATAGTGTTGCCTAGAGGGAGAGCTGCTCATTAGGAGGTAAAAGCCACCTGTTACACCTGAGCCGTCACCATGTCCCCAGCTAGCAGGCCTCTGATGTTTACAACAGACATGCACTGTTAGCAGTTGCCTCTGTATTTGTTTAGTTTGAAGTGTTCTTACTACAACTGATGGCTAGACCTTTCTCACCTATGACATTTTGGTAGCTAAAGTACAAACCATTTTCACGTTAAGCTTTTCTAGTCATCAAATGTGATTCCAGTAACATTAAAGACGGCTCTGTTTTCTTTGAGTACGACAGCAAGTAAATGTGCACAGCACCAGGACTCTGAAACTGAAGAAGTGAGATGGAATTCATCACTCGTTATTATTAGTTAAACCTTCACTGTCATGTCAACATGTCTTCTGTGTGCCAGTAAACAATGCCAATGAACAAGCATGCATAATACCAGGACTCTGGGACTGGTAGAGCTGGTACTCATGGGTTACAGTACATATGTGTGTGAACAGAAGTCGGAGGTTTCCATACACCTTAGCCAAATACATTTAAACTCAGCTTTTCACAACTCCTGATATTTAATCCTATAAACATTCCCTTTCGTAGTTCAGTTAGGATCTCTACTTTATTTTAAGAATGTGAAATGTCAGAATAATAGTATAGAAAAAGATTTATTTCAGCTTTTATTTCTTTCATCACATTCCCAGTGGGTCAGAAGTTTACATACCCTCAGTTAATATTTAGTAGCATTGCCTTTAAATTAGTTAAATTGAGTCAAATGTTTCGGGATGCCTTCCACAAGCTTCTTACTGTAAATTACTGGGATTTTAGCCCATTCCTTCAGACAGAGCTGGTGGAACTGAATCAGGTTTGTAGGGCTCCTTGCTCATACATTTTCTATTGGACTGAAGTCAGGTCTTTGTGATGCCCACTCCAATACTTTGACTTTGTTGTCCTTAAGCCATTTTACCACAGCACTGGAAGTGTACTTGGGGTCATTGTTCATTTGGAAAACCCATTTGCCACCAAGCTTTAACTTCCTGCCTGATGTCTTGTGATGTTGCTGCCAATATATCCACATAATCTTCCTTCCCCATGATGCCAGCTATTCTGTGAAATGCTCCAGTTCCTTCTGTAGTAAATCACCCCCTTTGAACATGAACATGGTACCTTCAGGCGTTTGGAAATTGCTCCCAAGGATGAACCAGACTTGTGGAGGTCCACATATTTATCCTTGGTCTTGGCTGATTTCTTTTGATTTTCACATGATGCCAAACAAAGGTATTGAGTTTGAAGGTAGACATTAAAATACATCTACAGGTGCACCTCCTACTGACTCAAATGATGTAAATTAGCCTATCAGAAGCCTCTAAAGCTATGACATCATTTTCTGGAATTATCCAAGCTGTTTAAAGGCACAGTCAACTGAGTGTATGTAAAATTCTGACCCACTGGAATTGTGATATAGTGAATTATAAGTAAAATAATTATCTGTAAGCAACTGCTGGAAAATTACTTAAAGTGCATGTCCCAACAGACTTGCCAAAACAACAGTGGTAAAAAAAAAGTGTTTTAATGACATTAGCCTACGAATATGTAAACTTGACTTCAACTATATATGTGAAGTACTTTAACTGACTTGTTGACCAAAGTACTTCACATAGGCTCCATAAAAATAAAGTAAAATAAAGGGCAAGAGACAGACAGTGAAACTTTAGATGAGGATAAAAGAGGAGACACGTCTACTCCAATATGATCCAAAGGCCATGGAAAATAAGCTTTGAGGAGTGACATAAAGCCTGTCAGGTCTGTTGCAGATCTAATATTAACAGGTAAACAGCCCTATTCCATGGCTAGTATTATTTTGTCTGTTTTTAAATATTAAAATTTTTACTACACTCATCTGGAAAAGATTTGAATGAGTTTGAAGATAATCACATTTGGAATAGCTGTGAACTTTTAATGATCATCATCTGTTTATGCCATATTGCAAGGCATAAACTCTGTCCCACTGAGTAGGGGAATGAAAGGCCCATTGAGTGCCTTTTTTACTGCAGAGCTCATTAGCGCCTCAGCTTTGTACACAGCCCTCAGCCTGGCCGTCTCTCCTTTTTTTGTCAGTTTTATTGGTTAGATGTTTCTCACATGCTTGTTATTGTGGATGGGCTTGTCCACATTGAGCCAATATACTGTATCAGGCACACAAAGCAAATTGTGCTCATGCTTACAGGCTGTTTGAGGTAATAAACCATGCATCATACCTTAGCCTGAGTCCCAGTGATCCAACCAGGTAGTGGTGCACTGGTATAAGCAGTGTGTAACAAACATGTAAATGAAGAAAAAAAGTTTATTGTAGTGATGTGCTATAGGGAATAATCAGACACAGTCATTGTTCTGCATTAATCATGCCATTCATGTCTGAGTGCCTTGTTATACTGTAGGGCATGTTTACATGGTGGTTGTGGAATTTAATTGTTACTAATACAGTGACTTGATTGGTTCCCACAAGATCAGCACAGATCAACATCACCATCCTCTCTTCTGTACCTTGCACACTCACTCATTCAGGTGTTCAGATCCTGTTGCTTACCCACCAAATTATTCATTACCCTGCCATGTCTCCCCTTGTTTCTCTCACAGCTGGCTTGTTCCATTGAGCTTATTTCCATTAACTCAGACTCTTAAACAACAGAACAAGAATATCAGTAACTAATTTAGCCTGGGAACATGTCGCACCAAACGTCATTACGGTGATATTTAAGCATTATGAATGATTCGTGTTGATACATGCTTGCTTGGTTTTCCATGAACTTTCATTAGTTTTCCCTTTTTAAGTTGCTATTAAAATTTGTTTTGTCATAAGCTTTTCAAAGAATATTAATTCATAATTGAATAATCTTGTACATCAAGTTGGTGGAGTTAAGTAGAGACTTTGTACTGTAGCTAAGTAGAGACTTTGTACTGTAGCTTGTCTGTCTGTCCTGAATGTTATTTGAATGTTATAATATGAAAACTGTTCATGTAACAGAACTTTCTTGCACCAATGAGCCAAGTCTTCCCAGCAGAGGATGATGTCAACAAGCATGTGGATGACAACTGTAAGTCTTTTTAGTGTCATTTAAGTAATTTCATTCATAACAATGGCTTCCCCCCCCCAAGAATTCATTTAATTGTTTGATTTTTGGTTTTTCTTGTTTCCAGGTTGTCTCATGTACTTGAATGAAGCCACTCTTCTCAACAATGTCAGAGTGCGGTACAATAAAGACCACATTTATGTATGTTTTTTTATACTTGTCTGCATTAACTCAAGTATAAAGCCTTTGTGTTTGTGCTCTTGCTATGGCCTAAAGCTGCCTCTTTACATTCATAAGGGGATACAGTAACAGGTTGGAGGGCAGAGGTAGACAGGATCCCTGTCCTTGTTTCCCTGAGGGAAACATACCAGGTGGTAAAGAGGGAAGGGAAGCTAGAAAGGGGTCACAGAGTCATACTGGCAAATGCAATCTTGAAAATGAGGGACAGCTGCTAAATGGGAAAAGCAAGATGGGGAAACAGTTAAGGTTTCAATAGGAGCCTTTTTGCCTCTGGTGTCATCCAGTAATTTATATCTATTTCTTCTATGTATTAACTTGTTTCTAAATGCAGTGACCTACTCATATTAATATGTCTTACAGACTTATGTGGCCAATATTTTGATAGCTGTGAATCCTTACTATGACATCACCAAACTGTATGGCCCTGAGACCATCAAGTCGTACCAGGGGAAGTCCCTGGGCATGATGCCACCTCATGTTTATGCTATAGGTGAGTGCTCACACCTTCTCACACTAGATGTATATGACTGCAAGCTGAAGTAATGATACTTAAAAGATGTTTGAAACCATCCTTATTAAAACTCGATACTGTACTGTACTTTTGTAATACAGTAGGTTCTGGTGTTGTCCCTCTTTAACCTTTATCTACACTGTCCCTTAGAGCACAATGTACTGCAGCTAGCAGAACACGTGCAAATAAACAAAACATGCAAATTAAGATGACATCTATTTTACTAGACATTCACAGCATTAGAAATGCTGCAAACACATAAACACATCCAAACACAGAAAGCAACAAATACATGTAAAATACTGGTAAAAAATAATTCAAATTTAACAGAAACGAATGATCAAACAGGAAAATTAATAAGGCACACAGCTTATTTTTAATGTGCAGTCACTTTCAGTGTCATTCTGTAGAAGCAGCCTCAACACTTGTCAGATTGTCACACTAATTTTTTAAGACATCAGTTGCACTTTGAAAATTTGCATTACTGCTTTATGCATAATTTGATCCTTGATTATGCTAGACAGTTGAGTAATCAGTGATATTTTTTTCTTTTCAGCTGACAAAGCCTACAGGGACATGAAGGTTCTAAAGATGAGCCAGTCCATTATAGTTTCTGGTGAATCTGGTGCTGGAAAGACTGAAAACACCAAGTTTGTTCTCAGGTATGAACTCATGGATCATTCTGCATCCCTTCCACATTTCCCTTTACCCTCAGTCCTCTCCCTTGGAATTCAGGGAATTCAAATAACAATTCCCCCTCTCCACCACTGTACACAAACCACAATGAGAGCTTTACCTAATACCTTGCAAATATCTAAAAATAAAAAGCTGCAGTGAACTGGATGTAGTCTGCAGTTAATCAGAAAATGAACTTTCATTCTTGCTGTTGGTCTTCATACTGCACAGTACGTGGTTTCTGTTTTGTTGTCAACATCTGGTGGAGGGTCATGTCAAACAATACAGATATACTGTAAATGAAACAGGGAAGATATTGACATTACTGTTGCTACTGCAGCCATATCTCGAGCACTTGTAGCAGCTTTAAAAATGAAAGCTAGTGTAGACATCTTTAAACTATGAGTTTTAGTGTGTGTGTGTGTTTTAAGAGTTTCATCTTCTTGTGAGGTACTGTACATATTTGTTTCTGTTGTCTTCCTGATTTCATTTCCATCCTGTAGATATTTGACCACAACATATGGAAGTGGTCAAGATATTGATGAGAGAATTGTAGAAGGTAATACATTAAGACCCTAAAAATGCATTAATATTATATGTTCTGTTTCGGAGAACGTGTGATCCTGAATCTGTTTTTCCCATTTCAAACTTTAGCAAATCCCCTTCTCGAGGCCTTTGGAAATGCAAAGACAGTCCGGAATAATAATAGCAGCCGCTTTGGAAAATTTGTGGAAATTCACTTTAATGACAAGGTAATGGATCAACACTTATTGTGTTGTTGTTTTTTGTAATATTTGCTGTATATGAACCATGAGTTTTAAAATCGTATTATTTTAATATTATTCAATATTATAATCTATACGTATTATTATTTGTGTATTTTTATTATGTTCTTGTGTTACCAGAATGCAGTTGTAGGTGGATTTGTCTCCCATTACTTGCTAGAAAAGTCAAGGATTTGCATGCAAAGTAACGACGAGAGGAACTACCACATCTTCTACAGGCTGTGTGCCGGAGCGCCTGAGGACATCAAGAAGAAGCTGCACCTGGACTCTCCGGACAGCTTCAGGGTAGGAAGGCTTACGTGGACACCAACATCCGGAGTGTTAATGTTTCTCAGAATAAGAACGCATACAGTAAGATACTGCATTGGTACCCAAGATAAAATTAATACACAAACCATCTCCATTGTGTCGCTGCAAAGTGAAATAATTGACGAATTGTCTTTGTTTTTGAAAAAGGAGCAGATATCATCACTTTGAAATCATTTTATGTGCAGTGTGCATGGAGGGGCAGTTCTGTTGAACACCACTAGATGTCACTTGAGCTTATTTTTACTAATGCCTTGGTGCAAATGAAAAGGTGCTCCCAGGTGAAATCAAACTCCCCACAGTAACAAATTTCACAACTGAATTCTGTCCCTTTTGAACGCAATTATCAACTCAACAGGGGCAAAGTCAGAGAGCATTAAAGTGTTTATCCCGGCTGTTATTTTCTCCTACATGCTCTACAACACAAATCTTAACGGAAGAACTAGCAGCTCGAGCAGTTCCTTTAGATGTTTATCACAGTGTCATTATGTTAGGTCCCCAAGGTGACACCCACATCAACAGAGGTAATTACTTTGTGCAATTCACTACTAGTCAGCTGTGGAGCCATGGTGGAAGACAACAGAGTAAATCTCTTGGATAATGAAAATCAATAGAAATATCCCCAGCAGGTTTGCCACCAAGAGTGAAAAAAATACAGTTATACTGTGTCTGAATGTAATTAATCAAAATGCTAATTATGTCTGAATGTTTTCTATGATCATCCTTCTCTGTTGCAGTACCTGAACCGAGGATGCACTAAATACTTTGCCACTAAGGACTCCGATAAACAAATCATGCAAAACCGCAAAGGTCCTGAGGTAATGTCCTGTTGTCTCGCTGTGGATATTATTTTGATTTTCACTTGTGAATTTGTGTTACATTTGCCTGCTGTGTGGTGACACGTTTTATGTCAAGTAAAAAAGGCAGAAAAAGTGTAATGTAATACTTTGGATTCTTTCCTGTGCAATAATTCATTTAGACACATACAGTATTGCTTTCCCCAACAGTAATAAATAAGGATAAAACAGAAAACAAATCTCAGACCACATTCAAGGACGTCCTTTGCAGAAAGTGGTCAATAAGAATATTTTATCCCAGGAAATTAGTTCCAGTTATGTGATAAATTAAATGTAACATTAATATAAAAAAAACTAACAAACAAAAAAAATTCCCTTGTTGGGTTGCACTACAAAGCCTGCAGGAGATGTGTAATTAATATCATGAAATGGTTCTAAGAATATGTGTGGCATGTTGCGCTTTGCTCTCTTGGACAATTAGACATGGTCTTTTCACTTGTAGGTTTCATAGATAGAATACTGTCACCTTATATACAAATTAAAGTTTCAGGAAACTCAGTTGAAATAGTGGTGGTGATTTCATTTCTTAGTTAATAGATTTACTGGGTTTATTTACCCTAGCACATTAAAAAAAGGTGCAATGACTGAAACTTACTTTAAAAAACATGTCATTTGTATTTTCCTCTCAGAATGCTGGGCCCGAAAAGCAACGTTGTTTCTGTGTCCTAATTCCCCTTTTTATATTTGCGACAGACAATATTTTAGACTGCAGTTTCAATTAATTAAAGGGCTTAATTATATAGTATACTAAATGTGAAAAGGTCTTTAATGTGTGCTTATTAAATCTATAACATTAAATAGGAACAATTATGGATGGACTATAAGCTGTGTGGTTGTACATTGTGTGTCATTAATATGTTGCTAATTAACTCATTGTGCATCTGTGTCCCTGTTATATATAGGACAATAGGGTGGTTTCTTTTCTTATCAGGGTTTCGTGCTCCCTGCTCTCTATCCTGTATTTGTTTCCTAAAGTAAACACTGACACTCTGATTTTACATGCTGCTGTTTGAAGTGTGAACAGGAAATAGGAAGAGTGCATGTTGCATCTTTGTCTCTCTGTACCTGCCATGGGACAGAGTGCTGTTTAGACAGATATTTAAACAAAGCATGTTTGCTTATTCAGCTTTTTTCAGCCATTCTGTACAATACAGGGCTGCACAATTATTGTGTATTTCTCATTGTCACAGTCAATATTTGTTCCCATCAGGACAATATCTGTGGGTGGTCTCTCATACAGTATCACAGTATAATCAGCAGTGTACGGTACATTTAGTCATAATTGTGCAGCCCTTGTTAATTATCACTATGATCTGGACTCCTAATGAGTCTGATCTGTTCCAGTGGCATTTTCACACTGCATGCCTGTTACTGGTATTTCTGCTTTCATCTTTCCAGAGATATTGCAGAATATTAGATAGTTTTTAGATCTTGTTTTTAAAAGTATAAATACATTGGTTGTCAAGACATTTAGAGAAAAATCTTCTGCAGCAGAGCAGCCTTAGTTTTCAGGATGGTGTGTTTGCAGTGTGTAGCTGGTGGGGGGCTCTTTTAACACATTTCTGTTAAATATTTGTGGATTGTTAAAAGTCCACATCAAGCATGGGGATTTTAGAGTTCAATGTGGGCTGGTGGGTCCCATCCAATTCAATTTGGACTCAGATTTATTCCATTTTTTTTCAGTTTCTACCTTGCTCATGTCTTTTGCAGCATCTGAAGGACAGTGCTCCGAAGGGCCCTCTTCTTGACGACCAGGGTGACTTCATCAGGATGTGTTTGGCCATGAAGAAGATCGGTCTGGATGACACGGAGAAGCTGGACCTGTTCAGAGTGGTCGGTGGTGTTCTGCACCTGGGCAACATTGACTTTGAAGAAACAGGGAGCTCTTCAGGTTCGACAGATATCGCAACTTAGAGATACAGACAAGACTTTCTGGCGATTTCTTATGATGACCACAGAGGTCATTTTTTCTGTCGCATGTATTTTAAGAACTGGATATACAACCTTTTAAAATTAACAAATCAAACTGGTTAACTTTTTCAGACTTTTCTGAGTTATTAGATCAGTATGACATTCTGAGGAACAGATTTTTTTCCTTGGCTGTTACCACAATTTATTATCAAGTGGTGATACAGTAAATAAAACCTATGTTACCCTGGCAACAATGTCTCTCTCCTTCTCCTTTTATGTTCATTCTTTATCTTTTGGTCAGTTTCACTGTGGATTAAATAGTCTACTTAAAAACTCAATACAATGAGTGATACATCTGATGCTGCCTCTAATCACTTCTTTACTTACTAAAATATATTTATATATAAAAACTATACATGTGCAATTGTGTGACATGGTCCAAATATGTTAGTTTAATCATGATTTTTACATCAGTGATTCACTACTCCAAGACCCAGGGGTTCTTAAATCAAATAGCATTACGAGTATTTTTGTGTCATGGACATTGACAAATTGTAGTTGGACAAGTGTTTAGGATTGTTTGTCTTACTTTATGTTTCAGGTGGTTGTGTCTTAAAGAATCAGTCCAGCCAGACTTTGGAGTACTGTGCTGATCTGTTGGGTCTGGACCAGGATGATCTGCGTACCAGCCTCACAACCAGAGTCATGCTCACTACGGCAGGGGGCGCCAAAGGAACAGTTATCAAGTAAGAACAACATCCTTGAGTTTCAATGATCTGTGAGTTTTTGCAACTTCTTATGAAAATGCTTTTGTGAAGAAAAAAAAAATCTTTTTAATGTTTCCTGAAACCACTGTCATTCTTAGCAGAAAAATCAATCTGAGGTCATGATAGACTTGAAAATAACTAATAAGCCTTATAGATTAACAAAGTGGAATTTAATCAACACAGGCACTGTATAGACAGTTGTTACTGTACTTAGCTTTACAATACAATCAGACAGTGCTGCCAAGTTTATCTCGTTTTTTTTTTTTTTTCATTTTACACAAATGTACTATACACAGATGGAATTATTTGATAAACTGTATTTATACATGACTGTGTGGCATTTAGTTTAGGTGAGTACAATGAATATGATGCACAACTGTCACTGCTTGCTTCTGGTGCTTGAGTGATGGGGCCAGGTTTGGTAGATAAATATTTCAGGAAGGCCAGATGCCGGCCTGGCCTGGAAGTGTTTTCTCCACATAAATAATGCAGCCTGTGTCTGAGGAGGCAGGCGAGCATGGCTGTGGTATAGTAAAGTCCTGGTGTCTGGGGAGCAGGTGGAGTGGAGGGGCCTGCCTTTGTAATCAAGCCCCATACACATCCCCCCACCCCCCATTCTTGGGGATTGACAGTAAGGGGGTGGTGAATGTGAGGGTATCAGGGATGACTGAATTTCTAACTTGCGCACATAAGAAACATTGCAATTAATAAAAATGACTCACTGAGATAGACTCAAGCATCTTGTGGGTTTTCTGAGACTTGTTACATTTAACTCGGAGCACAATGCAACAGAAGATCCAACCTGTTCTCTACTATGAATCATGATAAGTAGACTTTCCCTGTTGGTAATAGATGAGAATTTTTAATTCCTAATGGGGACTAGATGGAAGGAATATCTTAAGAAAGTTCTATCATACAAAAAAACAGACCTTTCCTTATTTAAATTCACCTTCTTCCCAGGTGGGGCAGTTAAGTTGAACTCTGGGCCCCTGTGGATCTGCACTTTGTCCATCAACCCCTCTAAACATTTCAAAATGAAATGGCGTTTAAGTGCCATTAGAGAGCTTTAGGTTCATATTTTACTTTCTGAGCCAAAGAGAAGGTATTGAAAGGCAGAGTTTAAAAACTGTTTATGACTGTAGCTCAGAAGGGAAACAGCAGTATACAGCAAAAGTGTCACATCAACACAGCTCAACTTTTGCTGTCACATGAAAATTGGGTTGATTTGATAAAAATAAAAGAGAAGGGTTTAATAAGATACTTTGCATGCCCCAGTTTCAGACAGTTTCTCACTGCCCCACTTTGTGTGCCCATGCAGGGTGCCTCTAAAGGTGGAACAAGCAAACAACGCGCGCGATGCCCTGGCCAAGGCTGTGTACAGCCGCCTCTTTGATCATGTGGTCAAACGAGTAAACCAGTGTTTCCCCTTTGAGACTTCCTCAAACTTCATTGGTGTGCTGGACATCGCTGGGTTTGGTAATAAAATGCATTTAGTGTTTGATAAAAATGGGAGGTTTTGGTTAAGCTTAACTTAGTGTGTATACTTGGCCTAAATTAGTCTAAGTGATAACACAAACTGAAAATTAGGGATGTAACGACATTCGTACTTTCACGATATTGTGATAGAATTTACCGATAATGTGGGTCTGTCTGTGACGGTATCCAGCAGGATATTACATATGATTATTACATATCATGGCAATATTGCACCAAGTGTTTTTGGTATAGTTAAATCCCTACTGAACATACAAGTTTCTGTAAGTTCCCAGACTGACTGCATTGTGTTGCTGTGTACTGGTTTGGTTAGAACTCAATATACTAAAGAAACACTTGTTTGTGCAGCATATTTCTTAATATAAGCACCCTAAGTACACACACACTTCATCACCAGGACTCTTGCCTGAGAATGTTTGCTTCACATAAATAAAACATGCTTTTCAAAACGTTTCATTGTCAGAATTAATTGAAATATTTTTTCTGCTTTTTGTTTTTTGTCTTTTTTAGAATATTTTGAGCATAACAGCTTTGAGCAGTTCTGCATCAATTACTGCAATGAGAAACTGCAGCAGTTCTTTAATGAGCGCATTCTGAAAGAGGTGGGTGAGCAGCATCTGAATTGTGGTGATTTGGTGTGGTTTACTTCTTTTATCCTGGGAAACCTGCCATGTCCTGACACTCTCAAGCCAAACTTAAGTCTTTACCAGCCAGGAGGAAGCGGTACAGCAGGCGCACGGAGCTCCTCTATCGTTTTCCCTCAATCTCTGTGCACGCTCTCATTAGAGTGCTAATTTCTCAAGGGACATGGTGAGGCTTGTTTCTCTCCTGTGATCTTTTAATTTTATTCTCTTCCAAGGTCTTCAATTAAATGTGCCACAATTCTGATTTAGGTTGCCATTATCTGAATCTTGTATTGTGAGTTTGATGTTTTTGTTTTCAATGATGTTCTCTGCAAAATGTAAACAAATAAACATATCATGCAATTTCAAAATGCTTTTTGTCTTTTGGTTATGTAAAGGAACAAGAACTGTATCAAAAGGAAGGGCTGGGAGTGAGTGAGGTGCATTATGTTGACAACCAGGACTGCATAGGTAAGTTCCTCTGTGTCATCTTGCCTCCATACACCCTGTGCAATGATTGTGTTTGTCACTACTCTCCTCTGCGGTAGTCACTTCGCCTCTGGAAATCTGTAAATGTTATTGTTGAAAATAGTCAAGGCACAAAGTAAATACAAAATTTTAAAAAATACAAAAATGAGAAACTAGCAAAGATAAGCTTACGTAAGGGTCACATAACAAATTGAATGTATGGGTTTGTGGATTTCGTGCATTATTGCCATTCAAAATATAAAACTGTAGATTCGGGTTTTGCAGAAATAGATATGAGATGAGCACAACTGACCTACAGTACCCAACATGTTAAGGTCCAAATGAGCATCAAAACTCAACACATGTCCACTGCCACATGTCCTGCAGCTCCACAAAGCAGACACTATGCTGTCTTTACAAAATACCAGCTGCCAACTACAGAACTATAATTAACACATAACTGCTAAACCAAAGCGGCATATCCAAAGTTTCCTCTAAACAAAAGGCTCACAATTCAACCAAACTGGGGAAACAAAGCTACAACAACATAAGTTGCAGCTACCAGGCCAAGCTATTCAGTTGCAGACATGCAACATACTTTGAAGGATACTACTTTTTCAGCAAGAAGACCCAGGTGAGGTACAATAGCTAATGACCCTCCCCTGTCAGCAACTCGTGCCAGGTGGGAGGAATGTCACATCATTAAGAGGAGGTTTCCTTTCAGGGCTTGTGCTACAGAACATTAAGATGTACTGAGAGAGAACCACAAAGGCTGGTTCAGGTGTAACGTCAGATCGTCAACATGCGCATCCATCTGAGCCTTTCCATGTGCTCATGGCTACGAGACAGAGCGGTGACAATACACCTGTCGGAGGTGGGAGCAGAAATATGACTTCTCATTGTTTAAGAAGGTGGAATATCCATGTGTCTGAAGGGAGCGAGTGGAATGAGTATTTGTGGGTTTTCTGTCCTCTTTTGTGCTTTGTGAAGATGGTAAAATGATACCTCCTTGTTTTTTATTGTGTCTGTCCTCAAATGAATCCTCAAATTAATGGGATGAAGTAGTCGGCGTATCAAGGTGAAGCAGTCTGATTTGTATTTCAAAGGCTGTGATTATTCAGGTGTGAGGTTAACTGACAGCCATGAATAACATTGATGACTTGCAAATGACCGTTTGGGTTGGCCATTAATTCACTCATCAATCCTCAGGATTTATGCACAGGTGCTTGTTCATGCAAATTTTTTTTGGAGGACCTCGGCTATTAGATTATATTTCAAACACGGCATGCCATATGAATAATTCAGATGTATGGCTAAATGATCATCCTGATGAACATGCTTTGTGCTTTGAATATTCACATCCAGAAACAGTAAACAGTGAAATATTTCCAATGAATCTCATTTTCACACTGAATGTTTAGTGGTTTTGCAACTTCTGTATCCTAATAGCCGTGGGGATTCCCCTCTCACCACTTCCTAAATGCTTGATTAGGATTTTGTGTGTTTTTATTGCTGCCTCTAAAATGTCTCAAGCATTATGTGTTGGAACTATTGCCAGTTTGGATATGTTAGGAAGATGTTTTCAGCATGTGCTTGGAAGAGTATTGCCTTTGCTATTCATATCTATACTGGACATAAATAAAATCATAAAACAAGCATTGATTGTTTCCAGATCTGGTGGAAGCAAAGCTGATGGGAATCCTGGATATTTTGGATGAAGAGAATCGTCTTCCTCAGCCCAGTGACCAACACTTTGCATTGGCTGTCCACAGCAAGCATAAAGACCACTTCAGACTGACGGTCAGACTTCTTGGTTGTACTCTCTCTCTCTCTCTCCCTCACACTCCCATCTCTTCACCTCTCTCTTTCACTATTTCCCTTTTGTCTTTGCTTTCTTCTTTGCGTATTAGGCTCCTTCTGTGAACCCAGGGAGCGATGTCATTGCATGCTGGTTTTGACATGGTGACCATTTTACCCTGCCTGCTTGTTAAAGCAGATTTGTGAATGACACACATACAGTCCCAGTGCTTCCGTCTCTCCCTGTCAGTGTTGTTCATCATTGTGCCTGTATCTATGCAAGCTACAGAAGTGTAGCCATGACCCCAGTTCAAGCTTAAGATTGGAGGCGGGTGGCTGCAGCCATGCTCCACCACAGGGAGAGCTATTACTCAAATACTATACATTTAATAGGATGGAATTTTAATCTAAAGTGCCTGAAAAGTCTGTGAATATTTCTGCTATGCAAATTTTGCACTTGAAGGATAATTTATTATGGTTCTCCTCACTGATGAAGCTAATGGAGCTTCAAAAATTCTGGGTGCTACATTTTATTTTTCATACTGAAGACTAATGATGGAAATGGATTATTAGCGTCTTTTATAATATTTGAGTACGTAAGACAAATGATAAAGTGTATCTCGACTGTGTGCAATTTTTATTTCCTTCTAGATGTCCTGTTAATTTCTGACTATACATTACCCTGTTCAGTTTATAACAATATGTCTATATTAATTATATAATCTTTCTTTTGTGCTGAACTTCACTGCAGTTGATTGATCCAAATGTTATTCTAATATTGTTTTATTTAACTGTTGTATATGCCAGCTGTTAATTAACAACTTCTCTCTCTGTAAAAATCATATTTCATTTTTTTTTTTAATTGTAATACATTTGCAGTAATTAACAGATTGTCATTTGCCTTTTCCTGGTGATACAGTTAAAGGCAGACATTGTACCTCAGTATAGAGATTGTGATGGATAGAATTGGTGTGTGTTTTAGTGCTGTCTTTACACATGATTTACTTTCTTCCTCTCACACTTAGGTTCCCAGGAAGTCGAAGCTGGCTATTCACAGGAATCTTCGAGATGATGAGGGCTTTATCATCCGGCACTTTGCTGGAGCAGTCTGCTATGAAACTGTAATTCTTAACACGGATCTTATTATATAGGGCTGTTGACAAAATCTACTACAAATATGTTTATTTTATAATGTACAAACAGGTTACCTCAACTGAAACTCAACAGTCAATTAAGCTAATCACATTTTAAGGGTTTTAGCATGCAACTAATTTCACTGATGATTCATTTTCTGATTTTTGTCAATTATTTGTATAATCTTTAAAATGTCATAAGACCCTTAAAACATTTATCACAACTTTGCTTACAAACAGTTCAGTATGTCTTAAATAACAAAGTAGTTGCTGATTGTTCTTCACTCAACTAATCAGTTCATTAACTAGCTGTTTCAGCTCTAACACAAATGCCACAACAACACATCACTTATGCATTTAAAAAGAAAAGTTGCTTTGGTAATGTGTGTTATGTGTCAGATGCATTTTGGCAACAGTGACTGAAACATTCTTTATTTGTTTTTGTAATATCTGTCTAGAAGCCTGCCACTATATAAATGTACTGTATTTGTGTATGTCCACAGATTCGGTTTGTGGAGAAGAATAACGATGCCCTACACATGTCCTTGGAGAGCTTAGTGTGTGAATCGAAAGATAAATTTGTTCGAGAGCTGTTTGAGAACTCCAGCACCGCGAAGGACTCCAAACAGAAGGCGGGCAAACTTGGCTTCATCAGTGTGGCAAACAAGTTCAAGGTCAGTGAGATCCTTAAAGACCACCAAGTCACTGAACAGAACTGCAATGGTATACAACCTGTTCATTTTTAATGTATTTCATGATCATAAATAATAGTAAATAAATGACTATTTTCATACTAGTGATAAATCCACAGTATTCAAATACTTGGAGTACTTTGTGTTATTGCAGATTACAATGTATTTTCCTGTCAGAGACATGCAAATTATAACTTGCAGAGCTTTATTTACTTTTATACACTTGTTAGAAGCTTTGCCCAGCAGGATTGGTGACAGAATGGCTTTATAGTAAATAGTCAACATTAAAGATGAAAACTATTTAATTTGGTTGTCAAGGAATTATCTAAAAATGTAGCATCCATCCATCCATCCATTTTCCTCCGCTTATCTGGGACCGGGTCGCAGGGGCAGCAGTCTAAGCAAAGATGCCCAGACTTCCCTCTCTCCAGACACTTCCTCCAGCTCCTCCGGGGGAATGCCGCGGCGTTCCCAGGCCAGCCGAGAGACATAGTCCCTCCAGCGTGTCCTGGGTCTTCCCCGGGGCCTCCTCCCGGTGGGACATGCCCGGAACACCTTCCTAGGAAGGCGCCCAGGAGGCATCTGAAACACATGCCCGAGCCACCTCAGCTGGCTCCTCTCGATGTGGAGGAGCAGCGGTTCTACTCTGAGCTCCTCCCAGGTGACCGAGCTCCTCACCCTATCTCTAAGGGTGCTACCCCACCCTTAGCAACAGCAATAATGTGGTAAATAATTCACAGGAATATGTCTTTGGAACATATTATCTGTTTTTCTAAGAAAAGTCACTCTTTTAATTGACTGTTACAGTAGCAGCAGGATTTTCTGTCCTTATTAGTGACCACATTTATATTACATGTAGTCATTAGATTCAGTCTCTCACTATGCGAAAGTCAACAATTCTTTTGAGAATCAAGGAGTGTCAAGGGGTAAATCTTTTTCTGCCTGTTTTTGTGAAATATAAAATCTATTTCTTTATATTAATTTCCCTGTACCAATTGAAATATCAACTAAATAATAATACTTCATAATTTTCTGACAATATGTTCTCTATAAGTTTGGGTATAGGAGTCAGTTCTGATAACTGGTTGTCATTTAAACCTCTTTATTTTACCATCAACAAAATCTAAAACTTTACACCTGCCTCATCGGAAGACATGGCGCCGGGATTGAGGAGATCCACAAAGCTTCCTTCCACCGTCCGACAATGATCCCAGTGGAGGTCAACAGCAGCCCACCTCAACTATAAACAGTTTTGACAGGGCACTGCTTCCCCCTCCTGAGGCGTCGGACGGTTTGCCAGAATCTCTTCGAGGCCGACCGATAGTCCTCAAAAATGTAGCAATGTGCAGTAAATTCAGAATTTGAAAACCACATTTACTTCTTTATTAAATGTATTGTTTAGCCTTTACTAGCAAAAATGCTTTTTACAAGTGGAAATCAGTTAAGAATGCTCCGTTATCTTTCTTATCTTGTTTTCAGACGTTCTAACTCTAATCTCTAGACCTGTTCTGAAACTCCTCCTTTTCACTCTTCTTCCTGACCCTCTTTCTCCTCCTTATTCAGGGTCCCCCTTTTAGATTTCCTCCAGTCTCCCACCTCAGTCCTCTGAGAAAACCATCCTTGGTGGATAAAGCTGGATAAAGTCAGCTTGAGGTATAATGGAGAGGAGTTAGAAAACAGCGGGAATGAAAAGAAATAGAAAGAAATAAAGAGCGGGGCACCCTGAGCTGAATGGTTATGGCCTGGTGCACCATATAACCAGGCCCAGTATGTGTGCAACGCCGGCGGTTTGAGCCTGGCCACCGACCTTCGCCATAGGTGTTCTCCCCTGTTCCCTGTTGGCTTCTCTGTGACCCACTTTAATAAATAAAGGCACACAATGCCCAAAAGATTACATAAAAAAACACACACACTTTTGTGAGAAACTCGCTGAGTAATCCAGAGGTCCACAACTGTCAGCAGAATGTTTCAACAGCCACTTCTCTCTGTTGAAATTTCTTTTCCAAAAAAGGGTTTATAGACCATAGCAGAACTGTGCACCATCTTTTTCAACAGATTTGAGATTTCATTATTACTGATGTAACCATTTTGCTTTCATCACTAATACACACACATGTACTCAGGCGCAAAGATGTGCATGTCTCCAAACTTTGATTGCTCCATTCCCTCACCTGTTGACAAGGATATGTGGCACTCGTGCCTCATGAAATGTCTTTCTTGGCAAATTTTATCACAGTCATTTAAAACTTTGTTAAACATTACCTTTTGTCTGCTTGCACACACACACACAGACCCAACTGAACCTGCTACTGGACAAGCTTCACAGTACTGTGAGTAAGATTGATTCCTAGTTTCCCTGTGTATTTTATAGAAAACCTTTTTTTACTTTCCTGCTTTGAATCGATTAAAAAACAAATCACCCTTTAGAACATATAGTATGTACTGGAATGTGTTTGACTTATCACAGAACTACAATTAGGTACAGTACATATTCTTTATTCAGGGGCCAAATATAAAGATGCAAGGTACAGACTGAGAAGTACTGTGCCAAGAAAGAGATGTTTTCCTGATTAATCTTTGTGTGTACAGGGCTCAAGTTTCATCCGCTGTGTGAAACCCAACCTGAAGATGGTCAGCCACCAGTTTGACGGAGCTCTGATTCTCTCTCAGCTGCAGTGCTCAGGTAGGTCCAAAAACAGTGTGTACAGTACAGTATGGACTGTATTTTTTTTTTTTTTTTAAATGTGCTTTAGTCCCAATTTACAAATTTTAGGATGAGTAAATGCACTAAGGGTACACTCACCCAGTGTTGCTCTACTGTTAGAGGAACAATTTAAGACAATTACAGAAGACAGACAACAACAGTGAAACAGCCTATCCAAGAAAGAACCCAATAAAAACTATACATATTTAATACCTGCTCGTTTTCAGGCTGATAATGGTTCTATGAGTAGCTGTCAGTACTGCACATTTCAAATGTGTGTAATTCCTTAAACTGTCATGTTTTTTAAAACAGTCCTTCACATGTCAAGACCATTTTTTTCATTGTTGTATTTGTGTCTTGATTAGGAATGGTGTCGGTGTTGGACCTGATGCAAGGGGGGTTCCCCTCCAGAGCCCCCTTCCATGAGCTCTACAACATGTATAAACAGTACATGCCAGACAAACTTACACGACTGAATCCACGGCTCTTCTGCAAGGTAGGATTACATAAATTTAATGGTTTTCTCCTTCACTGGGGAATTAGAAATTGTACTGTTGGGTTTAAATAATGGGCTAATTTGTTTAAGATAAAGCCTGTAGCCTTGCTGACCCATTTGGGAGATGGTTAATATAAGCAGTTTTAGTGCCCTACATTTTTACAACATATACAGTATTAACTGTGGCACTGAACAGGAATTTATTACTCTATAGGCTTTGTTCAAAGCTCTGGGACTGAATGACAGTGACTTCAAGTTTGGACTGACCAAGGTGTTCTTCCGCCCTGGAAAGGTACGGTCAAGTCCACAGAACTGATGATGCCTCAGGGATACATATATGCAGTAGTGAAGTTGCTGAGAACACAAATATGCCCTAAGGTATAAGTACCATAGCTTAATTTGTGACTTGTGTGCGTCAGTTTGCAGAGTTTGACCAGATTATGAAGTCTGACCCAGACCATCTCGCAGATCTGCTGAAGAAAGTTAACAAATGGCTGGTGTGCAGCCACTGGAAGAAGGTCCAGTGGTGCTGCCTTTCTGCCATCAAACGTATGCTAAATCTGCCAACACAACAAAATTTGCAACATGCAACTGAAGCAACACCAAACACGTCGACACAAAGTATCTGCCATGTAGTCTAGGAATAATTTAAATTCTCTTTTGTTGTCATTCCTATAATAAATATTTTTTGTTGATCCTTGCATTTGAGTTGAGACTTTTTGTTTGGATACTGTAAAAATATGTAAGAAGTCTGACGTGTATCGTTTTAGATTTTAGCACTTCACATATACAGTACACACTGATGCCCCATTTATGTGTTGGCCATTAGGCCATATGCCACTTGGCCTGAGTTAGTTATTTCTAACACATAACTGACACCAGTGAAAAAACATTTCTGAACAAAGCCAAACAATGGAAAAACACTTTAATTGTACAAAAACTTTAAAGATGAATAATTGATGAAAGATCATTAGCACAGCCTGTTTTTGTTAGTTAAGCTATTTCACTTTCCAGTGGATGGCTAAGAGATGCTTTGTCATTTCCTCACGGTTTATATTATACAGCTGTGATGGCTCTACTAAATCATATTCCACATTTTCCCATTCATTCTGAATATTGAAAGCAGCAGCCTGCAGCAATATGGAATAGTAGTCTAAAAGCAGTTCCTTGAACCATTACACTCTGTGCTGTTATTGATTTCCACCATTTAACAAAGTGCAGGCTAGATTCTGCTTAACTGTGTAAAAGCATCAAATTAAATTGTATTACAGTAAAAAGAGAATATTGCCTCTGCTTAAGGAAATGTATGTTCTTGGACTTTGTGATATAGGAACTTAATGGATATATATGTATATTGTATGTTTAACTGTTCTTTTATTCTTGACTTTCAAAAGTTAGGAACAAGATGAATTACAGAGCTGTGGCCTGCATTAAGATTCAGAAGACTGTCCGCATGTGGCTGTGTAAGAAGAAGCATATGCCACGGTGAGTCGCCTCCCGCTTCTGGTCCCCAACTCGCGTGCCCACACACGCATCAGCTCTCTTACATACATGCCTCATTATGACCATCTTTCAGCCTGTGCCCTTATGTACTCTTATTTGATTCTTTCTTTATATTTAAAGACATTCAGATGTGGTGCATTTTGATGGCTTTCCCACATTATGCATTTAAGATGTGGAAAGTTCTCTGTGGAGAAATAATGTTTCATTATACTGCTTTGGGAAACGCATCATGTCTTGCTATATTGAGTTGCATATAGAAAAATGGCTCTGGGGAAAGCAGCCATTCAGATGACAGGTTTTCAGGCAAGTTTTTTTTTTTTAAATCAGATTTTGATTGAGAGTGGCAGTATGTGCATCTATACGTGTGGAAACATTTCATACCAGTGTACACACATGTAGTTTGATTTGATAAAAATAAGATTTGTAATGTCTAAAATCTTTACAAGGGGAAGAAGTTTTTTTTTATAAAGTCATAGTAAAACAGCAGTGTAATGATATGTATGAGTGAAAAGGAATATAAGAGCAGTTGAAACCTGTTGGCCTCCACCTAGTATATTATTAAATCAGAAGGTGGAAGATGGCGGGAACATTAGTAAATAAGAACATAATTACATGAAATATGACAAAGGTTTTGCAAACTCTGATCAAAACACAACCTGACATACTATATTACTCTGCTAGCTACAACGACCCACTAGCTAATGGTCAAGTGGAGCTTTATATGATGGAAGGTACACTTATCTTGTCCGAAATCACATTTGAATGGATTAATGTATATTTATACCCCATGTTCTAGATAAATCCTCAAAAGAAAACATCAAATTTCCATAAGAAAATAAGGATTTGTCATAAAAATCCCCCATAATATAGTTTGACATGTTTAGCATTCATTAAAACATAACCGTAAAATTTTCAGGACACACATTTAACTAATGCCTCAGTTGCACTAAATCACTTCTTTTCGAAGTTTCAGTCCTTGTAATTAGTGTATGTATGAATTAACTCCTGCTTTCTTTTAATTATATTTTCCCATCTCTGCATTTTTTACTCCTCACAGCATTGACGGTATGGTGAAGGTTCAAAACCTAAAGAAACACATGAAACGATTTAACGAGGTGGTGAACGGGCTGAAGGAGGGCAAGCAGGAGATGGCCAAACAGGTTCAGGAGCTGTCCACCTCCATTGACGCACTGCTAGCCAAGATAAAGGTGAGTTATCAGTAGGTGTTTGAGCAGGCGTGACCATCGTCACTTCTTCCATATCAGCGAAGGATTATTGCTCTGGTGATACTAAAGCTGCTTAACAGGTTTTCAATTGCTTTGAGCATGATGAGGTGCGAGTAACACAGTGTACATCAAACATTTTACTCTTCTTTATGATTATCCACACACCATGCTATAAGCATGACTGCTTCAGATATACAGTATATGCATCCTGTAGCACCACGGCATCCAGTCTTATCCTGTTGCACACTAAACCCTTTCCAAAGTGCACTGTGCCCTTTTCTCATGCTTTTTCTCAGAATCAATATTTTCAACCACCTCAGGATAAAAAGAAGAGATCCTGTCTAATCCAATAATTTAATTTAGTGAGGGTGTTTTGCTAAATCATCAGAGTTGGTTAGTGAAATCCCAGATCTCCCGATGCAATAACCACTCACCTTATTGAACCCTCCAGGTACAGCAAACCATCAAAAACACATCCACATGCCATCCAGACATCTGGGCACTGAATTCCCCAACAGTAATGATTCTCTTGACTTTATGTACTCTGACATGACCTGTATGCAATCAATAGGTCTGATTAAACTGCATTTAGGTTCTTTGAGGTATCTTAATACACAGTGGTGCACCAGAGGCACCTGACCTTTTCTCTCTCTCTCACCTATCCCAGTCAGACTCTCCACTTCCCTTACATTACCGTTAGCCTATTAGCAGCTCCACTGCCGACATACTTAGAAACCGCTCCTGGCATGGCGTCTCTGTGTGAATAATGCATGAGATGCCGATAGCTGTCTTTCAGACTTCAATACGTCTGGGACAAGACCTTGTCATCTTCCCTGCCTGTGTTACTCTAATGAATGTCCACAGTGTGGTGACCTCTTCTCCTTCTACTGATTGTCTGACATGTATAGTGGGGAACTGAGCATTGTGGCAAGTGACAGACTCAGTCTCAGTCAGTGTCTTCCCTTTTTTTGCCACATGGGAAGGTTGTGTTATAACAGGGTGTGTGACAAGTTAGACTAAGTGTGCTGTTTCTCTTCCCTCTCCTAATTGAAAGCTGATGTAGGGTAAAAAGTTTTTTTCCAACAAACTCAAGATGGCATGTTAAGCATCCTGTGGCCATCTCTCTTTTTTTTTTTTAAATGAATAAACACGGTAGTAATATTGTTCAAAGCAGCCCATGCCTTTGGACTCCACTGAGAATTGCAGCTCAGAAGTAATTTAACAGTAAATGTACAACAACACTAAGAAGTAGGTTTTTATTGTGTGACCAAGGCCCGCTGGTCTGATCATTCTCTTGACCCCCAGGCCACAGGGATGACCTGGAAGGAGATTGACACAGAGTACCAGGGGCTGGTGAAACGCTCGGAGCAGCTACTCTCCTCCATGCAAAAGAAGAAGCAGGAGCAGGAGGAGAGTGAGAGGCTGAAGTACATTGAAGAGGATATGGAGAAAGAGCGAAAGAGAAGGGAGAAGGAAGAACAACGACGCAAGCAGGAGGAAGAAGACAGAAGACTGTAAGTGAAGGGATTGGCAGAATCATAGCAAACGCATTGATACAACTTGGAGATTATTAGGTGTCTCTATGGTTATGTTAGCTTTCTCTCAGTAAAGATTTCTTTTCTCCAAATATTTTAGGAAAGCACAGATGGAGCTAAAGAGGAAGCAGGAGGAGGAGGATAGAAAACATAGAGAGGAAGATGAGAAGGTTATACAGGTTTGGACCGCCCTCAGATGTTACATTTTCCACTGTTGTGCTTTCTTGCTGAACAGCTGCAATGCCCAGGACTTTAAGACTCTGACCCAGCAGTCTTGTTGGAAACTGCCACCACTTCTTTTTGGAAGATTCAATTAATTTTAGGTGCAAATGTTAATAAATGCATGAATCTCTGCAGTCTCTTCTACACTTCACATTTACCACAAATGAGGCCACCCCTGCAGTGACTGACCCCTAAACCCTGTCACTGAGTTGATATGATTTTCCCCCTTTTCAGGGTTACAAAATGGAGCGCTCGCTGGGGTTTACCACGTAAAACTATTAAACATACAGGAATCGAGATTGTGTAAATAAGAGCTAAAATGATGTTTTTTTTTGTGCTAAAATTACACTGGTTCCAGCTTCTGGAGTATTTACTGTTCTCTCCAAATCTCTTTAGGATTTGGGCATGTCCAATACAATGTGCAATTTTTAAATGTCACCTTGATAGACGTTTTTTTTTTTTTTGACCAAGTGATTTACTGATGTCAACTGAGTGAAAAATTATAAACATTAGTTGCTGTCAAAATAGTGTGAAGGGGAGCTCCAACATATACTATAATCATAGAAGTCGAACAGGGACTGTATGTGTTCAGCAAGCATGTGGGCGCAATCTCTGCCTGCTGTCCTTTCTGAGTGGAATATTTATTTGCTCTTTGGTCTCCATCAGCAGCTTCTTAGCATGACATTTGTCTGATTCCCAGAGGGTTTTCTACATGGTCCTCATTGATAATTTTACTTCTTGCCAGTTTTTTCCTAGCTGAGCTACTTTATCTCTATGTGCTATTCTTTGTTTTGTCTTGGATTTTATTCATCTCCCTTATTTATCTCTGCCTGTTTAACTCACATCTGTCAAGATTTTGATTTATTTACTCAAACTTTTTCTCTGCACTTACCTATTCTCCCTTAGTTTTGCAGTGGCATGTAGGTCTCATCCATCTGTTAAATGCACATCACACTTTCTGTACTTCTGCCCGTTTTATTCACCCAAGGCCAAATGGACATTTGCATATTGTCATTTATTTTATTTTTTTTTTTCCTGGCAGTGAGTCAGTTGACACCAGGCTGTCAAATGCCAGATGTCTCAGGAGACTCTTTGCAAAGTTTTTTTCTTTTTAAATCCACAGCTCGAAGGCTCAAAGCTGCACCAGTAAACTTTCCAAGGGGTGACTTCGGTGGCATTTTACTCTGTTCTCTGCTGCGTTGTCGTTCTAGCATCTTGCCCTCTCCAAACTTTCTTTTTCCAAACATGGTACCTAGCATTTATTCTGAAGTCACAATTTTCAGTCTGGTCTAACAGATGTTTGCTTCAGTGAAGTTCTAAATTAAAATCTGGAATTTGAATTAAGGTCAAACCTTAATGTGTCTCTATGGTTACTGTATGTTAGCTTTCGCTCAGTAAAGATTTCTTTTTTCCAAATATTTTAGGAAAGCATAGATGGAGCTAAAGAGGAAGCACAAGGAGGAGAATAGAAAACATTCAAATTTAATATTGATGTTGTGTCTAGACAAATAACTAGCAACCCTACAACCTGGGTCAATAGGCCTGTTTAGGCTTTCTAGATTTCTAATTACTGTGACGAGTCTCACATACAGAGCATTAGTATTTAGACATGATTGAGGTTTATGTACTGTAGACTTTATAAAGGTCGTACTGAGAGTGGAAGTGTCGTGGTGTGTGTTTACAGGCAGAGCTGGAAATGCAGCTGGCTCTGGAGCGTGAAGAGCAGGTCCAGCAAACTGCCATACTGGAGCAGGAGAGAAGAGACAGAGAGTTGGCCATGAGAATCGCCCAGAGTGAGGCGGAGCTCATCACAGAGGAGGGGCAGCTGGACGCAAGCTTGCGAAGGTATCATATGTACACACTGTGCACAATTTTGCATGATAAGCACAGTTCTGCACTCGTGCAAAGCAAGAAAGCTGCGTTGACCTCAGCATGTGTGTAATGGCATTTCTGTGTTTTCTCCCAGTGAGTTTTTCTCTGCTCTTCCTATCTCTTCATCCTCAGCCAGAGCCATGTAAGATATCGGTACAACTTTCTATGGCTGCCCATATCCAAGCATATCTAACACCAACAATAATCACTCCCTCGCTGTCTGTCTTAATTTCCATCATAGTCCTAAATCCCTCATCTGCTTAAAAGAGATGCAAGCTTAACAAAGCCAACATAAAATTCATTTGATTTTAAGAAATCACCCAGCTATTTTAGATGCGGCATGAATCATGTGATGTGCTATTTTGGGGATAATTATATGTGGTGATTGGTTACTTGGAAATGAAAGACGGCGCAGGAAATCACAGATAAGTGGTGGATTGGAATGTGCAGTATGTGATGTTTTTGTGTCATTGATCTTAATTGGCTCTACATGAGTATGAAGTGTTTAAAACTTGCCTGGATTCTTACGAGTGCTGGTTCACGGAACAGGCTTATGAGCTTGACTATCTGCTTTCCCTGTCTCATACATTTTAATGTTTATACATTTGTTGGGTATTCATGTTCTCTAGATGAATAGTCTAATTATGCTCTAAGCTTAATCTCAGTGATATCAGTGAGCAGATAACTGTTAGCAGATCATTTTTTCCGACAACAGTTGCATTATTGGTTTTTCTTGCCACTGAGATAAAATGTGAAATAGAAAATTTTCAATAATATAAACTTGTATCATATTTATTCAGTAGTGTTGAGCTCATAATGCACTGTGAATACAAATCAAGGTGACTTACAGACAAAAATAACTTAAGATGGAGCCAAACAATGCTCCTTTATTTTCTATATCAGGACATCTTGGAGTACGTCATCATGTTCACACCACAAAGTCAAAGAACAAAGATGATGTGTTCAAAATGACAAATTTTTAAATGGCCCAAAATGTTTTGCTTGTGATGCCCTAAAATGTTTTATTAATAAGAAATTGATTAATTGTAAAACTGTTACAGGCCTGAAAATGGATCTAGCATTTCACCGGGAAAAAATAAAAAGATGAAATGTAAATAAAACAACTAATCAGTGTTTTGCAGAGAAAATCAATAATTAGAAAACTGTCAAAGCACAATTTTGTGCAACCTAAATATTTCTGGGGGAATCCCTTAGGGCTGACCTAACATGGTTTGAGTGAACCCATGTCAGTTTCACCAAGGAGAGGTAACATATTGTGTACAGTAGCAAAATGCATAAAACAATTAGGTACTATGGTTGCCTACAATACACTCTAGACACTGTGGGTATTTATTGTCACTACTACATGTTTAAAAGATGCATACCTGGCAGTTATCAATCACAACATACATCTACCCACCTTGTGCTCCCAAGACTTGATCTTAATTCAAACTCTGATACTTTCACATTACTCTGTGCTTGAAGTCGGGAGAAGTTCTCTCAAAGCCTTCTCTGCAGGTCCAATGAGCACAGAATTACGTTTGATCCAATAGCCTGTAATCAAATCAGTTTTGGCTCGGGCACCTAGGAGTTGCACTGCATGCATGTCCTACTTTCTCTGTAAGAATGCTGACCCGTGACAACCCCAAGAAGATCTGTAGCAACAAAGCAGCTCCAAAGGCCACGTGCTGTACGTGCCTACCACAGAGCTTAAACACATGAAAGCATACATTAGAAGTATCGCTTCACTTCCCTTTCTTTTTTCCTGCCTGTAGCAAATGTAAACCCTCAACCCTAGTTCATCACCATCACACACTGGCACCTCTCAGCCAGAATCAGTTTCATATTTCCAGCCAGTATGAATTATAAATGGTAATCTGGCTAATGATTTGTAGACCAGTAATCCTCTACTCTGAGTCATTAGTGGCTATGCCAACTGTAAATAGAGGAGGCAAATCCTTCGCATTATTGAATTAACCACCTCAACTCAGCAGGGAAGCTGGCATGAGCGCCGACTTGCTGCAGTAGTCATTTAAGTAGCTGAAACAGTATGCATGCATCTTAGATTTTTCAGCCTTCTCACATTTTTGTTGTAACATGGCACAACTTTGCATAATTTTAAGAGGAGCTTGAAACAGTAAACTGTAAGAATATGGATACTGACCAGCCTCTAATGTGAATGTAATCATCTGAGACAAAGATACATCTGTCTGATCTTTAAATCCTGTTTATTTACCATAGCACTATGCTTGAAAGTGATAAAATCCAGTAACAAAAAGCATCAGTTGGTTTTGGATTTTTGTTGGTATTGTATGCATTAGAAGTTACGTGCCCAGTGTTGAAAAAGCTGGCCACACATCCAGTACTGTACCTGTGCACATACTCACCACGTTCATCTGTCCCGTGCTGCAGGGGTGCTCAGGTGCAGGCGACCAAAGCTGCTGCTGGTGTGAAAAAGTATGACCTGAGCAAGTGGAAGTACGCTGAGCTGCGAGATGTCATCAACACTTCCTGTGGTGAGAAATCCCTGTTGCACTATGATGCGATCTGTCAGCTAAACACAGCACAGAGTGTGTGTGCACTGCTCCACACCATTACAAGCAGATCGAAGTAGTTGAGCTCTTAGCAAAACGAAACATCTCTTTGCTCTCGTTCATTCCAAATTTATTTACAGTTTTCATTCCCTGTGGAAAATAATTCAGCAGCAGAAGCTCGTGTTTTGGCACTTTTGACACCCAAAAACTTATGGCACCAGCTCCATACACAAGCTTTTCATTTGCACTTTGTGACATTTTTCTCACAGTAATTTTTTTTTTGAGCAGCCGAAGTGGCTGTTAAAAAGCTGAGGCTGCAGCTGTACACAGTATAGACACAAAACGTCTTGCATGAAAAAATTTCAAAAGACCAATATGAGGATGTTCCCACAGCTGCTATGGCTCATCAGCATGCGCTTTAGTGGTGGAAAGAGGAAATTATCACCATTATGGAGAATGGCAGACTTCTGCCTTTCCTAGTCATTCCCAGCCAACCCTCTCTTCAGTCAGCATAAAAAGCAGATGCCTTTCTACTGGCTCCCTCGCCAATGCCTTTATTATTGCCACTGTATACAGTACTCTGATCACTGTTAGGGACTCTGATATCCCCTGTGGGATTCCAAGGACATCTGGCTAATTTGTGGAACCTATTTACATTGTGGATGCTGGTGGTGATACCAAAAAGGCCATGTTTGAAGACTGACTAATTATAGCCTTGTGTTCTCTAAATGTACTGTATGTTGTGAATGTTTTGTCTTTCCTCAGAGAGAAGAAGACATACTGTAAGCTCATTATTGAATTGTTATATTTTGAGCTTCAGCACAAACTAATCTAAATTTTAAAAATCACATTTTCTCAATGTTTTAAGCAATTGTGTCATGATGAGTAGTATTGGGTGTTTCTGGCTTCTTTACATACAGACCAACAATTATTGTGCTGTAAACACTATCCCAAGCACCCTTTTAAAATATTGTGACAGAAAACAATAGTTAAAACTTGTACATTTTCACAGAAAGACTGCATTACAAGCTGAAGGTGTGGGTTTTGAAAGAAATCGCTGCATTCAGAGGCAGGGATGTTTTGAGATTTTACCCATTCTGGGAACTAAAAGTGAAGACCCACATTCTGAGACAGACTCTCTGAGAGCTTTTAACTTAGCCTAAAAACCATGAGCAAGGAGCCCTAGCTTAAAAGTGATTTAGGAAACTGCTCAGAGCAACTCTGAGCATGGAAAACAAACTACAGCACACGTTGCGAAAGAAACGTCATCGCTGCCACACTTTCGTTTTTCAGTTACATCAGTGTTGTGACCATTTCTTGTGTTATAGCATTGTGTCGAGCAGAAGATGTGCATGAATCGCAGATTCACCAAAAACATTATCACTGTACAATCTAGTCTGTAGCCCTTGATTATCTAGGCTTTGTTCATCATTTGGAGAATATTGCTTCCAACTATCTTTCCATAATGTTATCTTCTGCTTAAGAAACTCTTAAGCTTCCTAAAAGTCCTCCCCAGTACTCAAGAGTTTTTGCCTTAGGAGTTCTATTATGGGCTAAGATGGCTTTGTGAAAAAGTTATTTTTACTAAGGTTTAGCCTTAATTTTAAGGGGAAATTCTTAGAAAATATCACAATGTCTAAGACTTTTCATAGAATTTTATATTTAGGAGTAACTCTAAGGATGCTTTGTGAATATGGGCCCAGATCTCTGACAACACCAAATGTTTCGAAATCCAGTACCAAATTGCTGGAGTAGTTCTTAAAAATAACAGTACCTGTGGTTAAAAAGGGATTTCATTTGAAGCTTGTAATATCACATTTTATTTGCCCATTAGACTGTCTACATACTGTAGGATGAAAGTGGTAAATCATTTTTGGATGTTTCAAATCTAACTTAGCATTTCACCATGTTTCTATCAGTTTTTTTTTCTGGTTGCTATTATTTGAGTAGTCACTGGTGTCACATTGTGTGGATAGATATTGAGCTGCTGGCGGCCTGCAGAGAGGAGTTCCACCGTCGCCTGAAGGTCTATCATGCTTGGAAGTCCAAGAACAGGAAACGCAATGATGACGGAAGCGATCAGAGGGCTCCCAAGTCTGTCACTGACTATGGTTAGTAGAGAAAATATTCCCCGTATTACCCTGTTGCTCTAAATCACTTTTTATTCTAATGCCTCACCTGTGGATATGAACACTAGTCTGTATGAAAACCTCACCTGGGGCACATTAGGTTACATTTTAGCCTCTTACTTCCATTACACACAAATAACCTGTGTTCTCTAACATTCAATTAGCTGGTGAGCTGCCAAGACCAAAAAAATGCAGCCACCTTGTGTCTGGATCTGTCAGAAATACTGTATGTTCTAATTAGCAAGTAACTGCCTGTCATGCCCGGTCAAGTTCAGTGGCTGGCTGTTAGTATGGCAACTCACTGCTTTGCTCATTTCATTCTCAACTCCAGCAGCCTACCACAAACACACACACACACACACACACACACACGTTATTTAGCAGCTTTTAAAGCCCATCAGTGCTCTGCATTTCCCTTCTTTTCCATTAGTTTTCATTTTAAAAACAGAGTACATATGAAGTTTGATAGGGAATGGGGACATCAGATTCAATGGTGCTTCTCCTTTTCACTATATTTACTCACCTTTTTCTTTTGATATGACAGCTCCTGAAAGCCGTACTGGCTCTGCTTTGTTTGCCATATATTTGGATCCTGTTCTTGGCTTCTGATGATGCAGCAGGGGTTTTATCAAGGCCATTTCATAAGAGGCTAAAAGCAGCTTTACCTGGATTTTCCACTTTCATGGCTCTTTTTGAGTGCATTTTGAATGCTTTTGTTTTCTGCGCCACTCAGTGCATTTTTGGTGTGAGCAAAAATATGTTATGCGGTTATATTTGACGCAAAACCAGATGGCAATATTTTGGTGTGAATACTCCTCACAGTGCTTCTCTAGAGATAAACAACCAACTGCACTTCAGATCTAACATTCATCACCCTGTCATACTCTGCAGCTGAACAAAACCTGGCTCCTCCGATGACAACCCAGCACCAAGAAGTGGCCATGAACCGCCAGCAGCGATATTTTCGTATTCCTTTCATCCGTCCAGCTGACCAGTACAAGGACCCCCAGAATAAAAAGAAGGGCTGGTGGTATGCCCACTTTGATGGACCCTGGATAGCCAGACAGGTGGAGCTTCATCCAGACAAACAACCCATTGTGTTGGTTGCAGGTGAGTTGCATAGCAGGTTTTACTTAAAATAATCTAAATTGAGATAAAGAGTGCAATAAGAGCATTTATCCAGTTATCAGTCAATGATTTAGTCTAGCAGTTCCCATCCCTTGGAACAAGAGTGTCATGATGCTATTTCTACTTGTAGCTCACCAACCCAGGCTCACAGCAAAATGTATACTAATAATTACATTTTTCTGTGCTACTAGGCTGAATTCTCAGGTTATGCTCAGTTGGCAGTTTATTAGGTACACCAATCTAAAATTAAGTCAGTTTAATACAAGACTCAATGCAATAAGTCCTCCTTCATGAAGGTAATGGTGTTAACATTTGTTCAAACAGTTTGAGAGATGCTAGTTCAACTGAAAGGTCAATTTAGAGGATGTAGTCCTATACTGACATGTTTTAATTATTTTGTCCACCCCATTTATATCACTGGGCCTCGACTAAATCATGACCACTTCACTGTAAAATGCAGAACAGCTCAACAGCACTTTTTCAACAGTACTTAAATTTATGTCTGACTGTTTCAGTAATACTTCATCTGTTTCAGAGTCAGGTTTGTGGTGAGAGACATGTACCGTAAACAGACAGCTCTGGTTTATGCCATTAAGTCTTTTGGAGAAGTGCGTCCTGTCACTAAAGCGCTGTCCTCATTCTTTCACCACTCAGGCAAAGATGATATGGAGATGTGTGAGCTGAGTCTGGAGGAGACGGGTCTGACCAGGAAGAGGGGGGCGGAGATTCTGCCCAGGCAGTTTGAAGAAATCTGGGAACGCTGCGATGGAATTCAGTACCTCAAGAAAGCCATTGAAAACAAGCAGGCCCGTCCTACCTATGCTACCGCCATGCTTCAAAGTCTCCTCAAGTGAACCACAACATGCACAGTGTTTGTGGTTTGTGGGAGTAAAAGAAGTAACCACAGAGAGAGATGCTCCCTATACAGTCTAGTCATAGCAGTTTTTTTTTCTCCACTTTTTATCTATTTATTTTGCAGTGTAACAACATTGGTGTATCATTACAATTTGTCTTCAGTCTGTTTTTAAATGGTTTATGGCTTAAATATGACACTATGAGGCCTTAAAATGCAATATCACTGTGATACACCAGGCAAGCCTTAACTGGTGTCTAGTGTAGCTATAAACCTGAAACATTAATGGTCTGCGATAGGGATAAAATACATGAGACTTCAAGAAAAGTGTGCAACAGTCATTCAAGCCACCATCTATGTTCATCAGGATTTTAAGAATAGACCTCAGATTTGATTAAGAACAAAATTTTTCACACGCATGCAGAATTTTCTGTTTTATGTGAAATACTAAAGGTTACAATCCTGTTGGATAAAAGTCAAATTGTTAGCCCATCTTATTTATAAAATATACATAAGAAATTAAGTTGACCTAAAACGGAACACAAATGTGGTGGCTAAATCTTTTTCATTATTGCCCATGAAGCTTCATGTAGCTGCAGAATGTATTTTTCTTCCAAAACAAATATTTGAGAGATTTATTCCCTTGAAGATTACCATCTTAATCATGTTGTCATTTTATCCATTCTGTCGCTACATAAACGCCTCTCTTGACTGATGAATACATTAAAATAACTTTTGTATTGTTCCTTATTTGATATGCAAGAACAAATCTTGAAATTTGTTTTCATCCTTGTTTGGGGTTGTTTTAATGACACTGATTTTATTTTTTTGCGTGTCAGCTCATGTATTTTATTAGTCTGACTTCTTTGTTGGTTAGGACAGGAGCATTTCATCTCACTGGACAATCAAACATTACCTGTGTTTAGACTCGCACTTATTTACTGGAAGAGTCACTAGTCGACTATACTGTAATTAATGATTCACTTGCCTGTTTCCTCTGATCTGTTGTACTTTTGGCTTTTACCCTGGAACTCTAGAAAATAAATGTCTGCCCCCATGTTCTTGATTGCTTGTTCTTGCTAAGTGTAGATAGATGACAAGCGGGAGCAAGTTAATTCACAAACTTACTAACAAAGCTGTTAGTGGCTCTGTAAATAAATCTGACATACTGTACTAGTGCTAATAACAGCTAACAAAGCTGGCATGTAGATTAAAGAACAAAAGCTACTGAAGATGTCTTCACTAAACTGAGGCTCATTCCTATTAAGCACTGATTTATCCCTGAGAGATTACCAAAAGGCAAATGATTTCTAGGGAAAGTTGTTTTGAAGAGGACAAACTGAAGGACAGATAGCACAGCAGCCAATATTTCTATAAACAAAATGTCACAGCTAAAGTCAACAACTTATACGTTCTCTTTTGGGATACAACAGTGTTTAAGAATAGCATTAAGATAAGCATTATACAGTCTAAACCTAAAATACCACCATGTGTATCAGTTTCTAAATAATAAATACCTCATTGTGAGGAGAACAACCTTTGCCACGGGTGTACAGGAAATGGTCCTATCATTCAGTATATAAAATAATAATTAGATTCCACTTTAAGACGACCTGCATTAAGTCCACTGTAATATCCATAATAGCTCACTGTCTAACAAGACACTTTCATCACTAGGAACAAATTTCACTCACTGTTCTACTGTACCTGTGTCAGTACAGGCATCCCATATACAGAATAACAGCAATGTCGACCTTTGCACCGTTCTGCTCCCCAGCTGAACAAAGGTGTCATCAGAGAACTACTTTGAAACATTCGTTATCTGTTGCCCTTAAAGGACAAGTTGTGTGTTCATTTGGCGGTCGCCACCTCTAGAAAAGACCACAGGAGAATGAAAATTAGCTTATTTAAAGGTAAATAACACCTGTGTAAACATGTCTAATAAATCAAGACAGTCTACACATCTGTGCTACTCTTCATCGCAGAAGCTTCAGTCAAGTTAAGCACTCATGATCTTATTTGAAAGTTAGAATTTCATATTTTTCTATTACAGATGTGCTTAAATCCACAAATCTCTCCATTGAGTTGATTTGTGAGTGAAAACAAATCAGCTAGGGCAGGACACACAAAGTTTACCTTTGTACGTGTGACTGAGCCGTAAAATATTTGATGTAAAGGTTATTGAATATTACTGTAGCAACACTGTCTTAAACCATAAGATAAAATGCTATGTAAAAGACATATTGAACATATGTAGTGTCAAATCTGTGGGCGTTACTATAAAAGTATTGTCTTGTAAAACCTTAAATTTACATGGCACACTTCTTCTATATGAATTTATAACACTCAGAGTCACTATTTTTCCTTATTGTTTGCAGTTTACAGACTTAGCTTCACAGTGTCAGTGTTTTAGTGTCTAGTTTTTGGTATTCACCTCACTGTGTGGTATACAGCAATGGAAGTCCACCATTTCTGAGACTAACTTTTCTGGTGTTGTTGTGTAGAGTTGTCTGGGGATCTGTGGAGACAGAACGGACAGGCACAGCACATTAATGCATTATAGTTCCAGAGGCACTTCAAGTAGATAAACAAGCCTTATTCCAACAGGATGGAGTGCCAGAAATAGGATCTACTAAAAGCCATGCATTAAAGCTACAGCTTGTACTGCACAGCCCAGTGCTAAACACAGACTCTTGATAGATTTGTCACAGAGCGTCTTCAAAGCTGTGGACTGTTTGTACCTTAAACTGCGTTTGATTTTGTGGATCAAGGTCTCTGAGCAATTACTGAAACTACCCAAGGACCTTGATCTGCATTTAATAAACCATTAGTGCCACACAGAACAGTTTCAAACATTGTGTAAATGATTTTAAAGTACACTAAAGATACATCAGATGAGCTGTCAGCTTTGATGGTGAATATAAAGATGAAGGGTATGGAGGATGAGAGCAGCACAAACAACACAGTTATTTAGTTTTTAGAGCATTAGTTTGAATTGCTGTAGAGGTTAGTTGTTAAGTCATTTGTGCTTTACTGCACAGTATACCTCAATATTCAGATGTATATTTTCAATAGAAGCCAAATGCTCTTGCTCGGACTGTTGGGATTGGAAAGAAGCGGTGCTTGAAGGACATGGTAATGTGGACACTTGAGTTAAGACACTGTCATCATTTTCAAATACTGGGTTCACCCTCAAAGCATTCTCAAAGGCATGAGAAGCAAGGGTGTGCCTACAATGTACAGGAGATGGGGCGGTGAATTAAAAATGCTTTTAACACTGTAGGAAACACTCCATGAATTATAACAATGTTTAAAAAAATATAGAGGACTCATACTTACACCAGTGTTATAGCCTTTCTGCTCTTTATAAATTTCTTGTTAAGGAATATCAAAATGCCAATAATGGCACAAACAAAGCAGAGACTTCCCACGAGGCAAGTTATAATTACTAATGGCACCAACACCAGCTCGTTACAGCGTTCTCCATGGTAGTGCCAGTATTTACCCACAGGGCATCTGAAAGACATGAGAAAAAAAGTTTACTGCATGATAGAAACACCAATTTCAATAAAAGAAAATGACTTTCACTTTACTGTTTGTTTGCACATTTCATCAAAAATGCCCTCAAATGTATATAATTACTACTTCCACCCTCTGGGGAAAGTGTTTCTTTAATAAATGGCTGCTTAAAATAAAATGTGTAAAATTGACAGCCAATTAAAATCACAAATTTCACAGTTTTAAGCTTTTTAATTCAAATAAAATGACTTTTTTTTAAAAGTACTAGATAATCTCTGCATTAAGTATTGCCTCAATATCTTGTAAATATTAAAGCAATAACAATCTCCAGTTGCTTTTCATGAGACATTGCAGTTGCTGACTAATGCAGACTAGTACACCAAGCTGGGTCCATTAGTCTGGGAGGGCTTGTTTATTGTGTTGTTTTGATTGGTTCCAGAACAGTATGCACAAAATCCATCACCTGCCAATTTAATTAACCAAAATGTTGCCCTGAAGCAGCCTATACTGTAAGAAGTCATTTTAGATTAATTCGTTTCATCCATCCATCCATCCATTTTCCTCCGCTTATCCGGGACCGGGTCGCGGGGGCAGCAGTCTAAGC